ATATATATTTTTTTAAGTTAGGGGAGTAAAAATCCTAACCACTTCTTGGTGGTTTTAACTTTTTTCTCTTTTTAATATATATGCGCGTGTATTTATATTTTAATTATATTATAATTTAAGTTAATAAAAATTTTTATATGAATTTGAGCCTAAATTTAATTTACATTTAAATGCTTAAATATGTGATTAACTTCTAATAACTTCAAATAAAAATTTATTTATTCTAAACCTTAAAAAATGGACTTTCTCTTTGGGTCATGTGTCGTGCCACACAACGTGTGTGTAGTGAGGCACATGACACAAATTTTTAAAATTATCCTCATTAAATTCTTAGCCTTTGAAATTAACCCTTTTATCTTTAATAGACTGTGTGTGTGGATAGAATAACCCCAAACAATATTTCAACATCATTTTAGTTTTTTTAATTTTTTAGATTTAAAATTCTTATTTTAAATAGGATTTCACTGGGTGCATCTTTCTTCATATAGCAAATTTCTAATTATCATGGTAATTCTATTTCAACATGTTGACTTTTTTATGCTATAGTATTTCCTTTTTTATCATAGTTGTTAACTTTTAAATTATTTTTTATGTATGAAAAATTATTTTCTACTATGGTAAATCCTTATGAAGTTTTTTTAATTCTTAATTACTACGATAAACTATTTTCTATCATGATGGGGTTTAAAATAATAATTTGTCTTCTTTCTATTATAATAAACATTTTATTATCATGGTAGAGTTTTGAGATATATATTTAATTTCCTCTACAATGGCAAGTGTGGGTAATCGTCTTACTTGATGAAATAAACAGGTATAAAAATTTAGGATGTTACACTATGAATTTGCAAGTTTAGCTTCTAATTTTGCAACTATATTGTGATGTATTTGTAATTTTTTTTAAAATGTTAACAAGAAATACAAATATTGATCTTTAATATTAAAAAATATTAAGTCTAATAATTTTAGGGATTTACAAAAAGCCTTTGCTTCCTTTCTATCATGCATGTTTTTGAACATTAAAAATGAATGTACATGTTCTTTGTTAAAATTTAAAAAGTAAGTTATAAATGTATCACAATGAAGTTACAAAATTAAAAACCAAACTTGCAAATATTTAAAGGTGTTAGATCGTGCTATTGAAGGATTAAGAGACCTTGTTGGTACTTTAAAATTGATAAAAATTTAATTTAAATTAATTAATCTCTTAAAAGTTAACTATCACTCTCCCAATATTTAAATCAATCACAATTGCATTTAAAGAATTAAGACGCACAAACTTCACTTGGAATGAGAATTAAATAAAAGTATCTTTATTTTTATTTTTTTTTTATATCATGACATACTACCAAAACGAAATTGTAAGTTGCGTGATGGTATTTTTATTTCGTTCAAGAAAATTATATTTTGTTATGCGTGACCACCAATGTCTTACGGGCCACAAACCTGTTCATCAAATCCTTAACTTATGATTAATCTGGACTTGCTCATTTATGGGGCTCAAGCTCATGGGAATAATTCAAAAAAACTTATCACATCCGCAGACTCAAAAACTCTAATTATATTATTCTTGAGGGAATCTAACCTTTTCCACCAAAAACGATGCCAACAAATTCTATGATTTATCTCACCTGGTTTAGTCCAATACTTTTGCCGATCATATTTAGGGAGTAATTACTGCATTTTCATTATAAATTTATCACAAAGCTTTAAAAAAAAAAAAAAAACTGTGCTCAACTATGCCTTCAGCTCTTCATGATAGGCGCATATGATGAAGACAGCGCATAAAAAGAAGAAACAAAATAATCTGCGGAATTTTTTTAATTTCCAATTATATCTTTATTTTTTTTTTGACAAGGCTTTTATAGTTTGATGAAAGTTAAAATTCTTAATGTTTGACTTTTTCAAAATAAAAACACTCTTAGAAATTATAGAAAATCTGATTTAATACTTTTAGCGAATTTTTTAATTTAATAAAATATTTGAATTTGTATTGATTTTTTATATAAATTATATACGTAACCTAATCAGAAAACATAATTATATAATTTTTTTAATAAACATATAAAAGTCCTTAATTTCAGTGTTAAGTAAAATTAAAGGATTTTCAATAATAAGGGACTCACGTATTTAATCAATAAAACTATAAAGATTTAATTACAAGAAAATAAACCATGAATAAAATTATAAGAACTTGTGAATTGATATTTTTAGAGAAAATATAATTTTAAATCTTTATATTTTATTCATGTTTTGCTATTGATCTCTATACTTTTTTTTCAATGTTTTTATCATATATTTTTATTTTTTATTATTTTTAGGTTCTTTTATAAATAAAGTATAGAGATCCTAAAAAATTTTAAAATAATAAAAAAAAGTATAAGATAAAAAATATTTAAAAAAGCATATAGAAGGGATCTAAATTTATATTTTTTCTTATTTTTAAAAATAATCTTAGCTATCTTTCTCCCCTGATATAGTCACATCACTTGACATTCGGCAGCCCTTTGAAATCCAGCAATTTATATTGGAAATACGTCACAGGATGCACACATGCATCTGTAAAGTACTCGATATTAACCAATATTTATGTTAAGAAACCATAGCAGTGCCACAATACAAGAAATTATATGCAACCCTAATCTGTTATTGATTTTTTTTTTTTTGGGGGGATCTATGAGCTAATCTGTAGTGCAGTCAACCAATGATAGCCCCAGTTATTGGGAAAAACAAACCATGGTCTAGGTTAGGGTTAATAATTCGAGTAAGCTGAACTTATTTGAATTGAGTTTATAGTATCCTATTCTTTTTAAAAAACTTATATAACCAATCCAAAATCTAACTTTTTTATGTTAAGTTTGGATTAATCCGTCGAGTTTGACTAAAATTTCTAGCTTTACATATATGTATAGAGTTAGAACTTCTTGCGATCGAGTTCAATTTGAGCCGTGCTTGTTCAAATTAAGCTCATAGAATTTTACTTTTTCAAAAAGCTCATGTAACCAAGTTCAACTCTATCTTTTTCGAACGATTCAAGTTTAACCCGAATTACTTGCTATAGTCCAAGTGCAAGACCTGATACTATAAGAAAAGGTTGTTTAGCAGAGAATTATATCTAAATTTTAGAGTTAAAGATCGTTTTTGTTCTTGAATTATATACGAAAAATCACAAAGATTTCTAAATTTAATTATAAGTCAATTATATTCTAAAGATTTCTTCCATCATCACCTTGTTTTTTTTACCATTAATGGATCCACATTGCATTTTTAAATATATTTTTATTGTAAAATATTTGAGTTGAGGGGCAAAAATGACTATTAAAAAAGAATTTGAAAGGCAAACAATGACCTTAACTTATTAAAAAATATTAAAAAAATAACAAGACTCACTGATGACTAACAGATGTTAAATATTTTTAAAGTCATGATAATAATAGAAAATTTTTTTATAATTGAAAGACATAATTGATCTATAGTTGAGTTTAAAAGTATCAATAACCTTCCGTATACATTTAAAGATAAAATGACTTTTAATCCTAAATTTTAAGACATTAACAACAACACTGAATGGCTCATGAACTCAAGTGCAGAGAGATCCAAGAAATAAATAACACATATGATCAGATTATTGGTGAATGATATGCGTTTCACATCATATTACTTGGATACCTATCTAAATATTATAATCAAGTTGTGTTTTATATCTCTTCAAGGTTGGACTGCTGATTATTTTTTATCCCCTCTTGAAAAAACCTGTTCAGAACACCAAATAATTTTTCATGCAATGATAATACTTAAAGTCAGACTATAATCCTAATTTGCTATATTTAATCCAACACTAAAATTCGTCAATGCTTTTACACATCTGAAAAGAGAGAAAAAGAATACGCTGAATGATTGACTTTAAATTGTAAACATGAATATATTTTTTCTTTAAATATCATAAAAAGGAACATAATTTTTTTCTTTGAAATGCACTGCTCTTCTGACAATGGTTGGCCAATTAAAAAGAAGATAAAACGCTTAATTTAATGTTTAGATGCTGAACACGTAATGTTTAGTGCATAAGTAGCTTGGTAATCATAATCTCTCCTTTTCTATCTAAGAAAATCAAAAGTGGCTTTAAGTCCGATAAGTGGGTAATTCGGACGGCCAAATATATTTTGGCTGCTTCAATTGAAGCTAACTCAAATGAACTCGAACTTATGAAATAACTAAATAGTCAAAAGTTATTTTGTCTGTTGTTAATGCCCAAAATATAATTTTTGTATTTTAATTTTTTTACTTTAAAAGTATTTATTTTTATTTTATTAAAATATAACACATATTTTTTGGTATGCTTTAACGATGTGGGAGACTTAAATTATTTAAAAAAAAAGACGTGGGTCTTAAATTTAAAAATTAATATTAAAATTTATTTTAAATATTATTTTAAGATATTTTATAGATTAAAAATAATAAAAATATGTAATATAAATATTTTTAATTTTTCACAAAATATTTATAATAATATACTTAAATATATAATATTTTAATATAAAATAGTTTAAAACTTAAAAATAATTAATATTTAATATATTTTTATAAATATAATTTTTTTATTGAGGTATTCTAGGGAATCTCAAACCCAATTGATCTTGGTATTAGTTTTTGAGTTTATTCATACTAAATATTAAAAAAAAGTTATTTTATCAAACTCTTCACCAAAGTTTTATTGAAATTATTTGGGGCGGCCTCTGTGTTCGGCAGATTAACCTTTTTAATCCTTGACATGTCCTCAAAACTATCGTAATTATATATTTTTCCTTCGTAATGGCATTTTTGATCAAAACCTCCCCAATAATTTTCATTAAAAAAAATTCTGTTCAGAAGTTCGCCATTACCATGTTCAATGGAGCAAATCCCAAGCAAATATAAAAATTTCTAAATTGGCTTCGCTTCGCCATCTGTCACTTACAAATTGTTTAAAGTTACGGCTACTGTTCTGAAACAATTGGATTGAAGGAGAGCGAAGCCAAAGAAATGGCCTGGAAATGTTAAATTACCCAATTGACCTTGCTGACACGAGGGAAGAGCCCGATTGGCGATCGGTTTCTTCTTACACGCTGAAGAAAAAAAGGGTGGGGAAGAATGGCAGGTGGGTCGAGGTTAGAGACGAACCCATCGCAACGAAACTCCATAACGGCGATAGGCAGATATTGTAACTGTAAGTAAACTCCACTTCGTAGGGGAGGAATCAGGAGCTGCCGCAGGGACCCAAGAAGGATTTCTCATTCATTTTCACTAGTAATATTGGCTGAAATTACTTGATCACCTTGCTTATCATTAGTGTTCTGGGGAATCAAGGAGCTTGTGTTACTGTCATCTTCTTCATTTCTCTCACCGAATGAAATTACAGAGCGACGCACAACATAGATGTACTCGAGTAATTTGAAGGGGTTTATTTTGGCTGTCGTTTCCAGTGCTTTTATCGGTTCCAGCTTCATTATCAAGAAGAAGGGTCTCCAACGGGCCGGGGCTCACGGCCCTTCAGCCAGTGAGTGTTCCCCAATCTGAGAAGCTGCTTCTTCTCTTTACGAGGATTATTAAGTTTTATTATTTTTATCATTGCTTGCCATTCACTTCGTGTAGGTGTTGGAGGATACGGTTATCTGCGAGAGTCTCTCTGGTGGATCGGCATGATTACCAGTGAGTAGTTCTCTGTGGTGTGGCATTCTCTACAATGTTCGGATTTCTAGCTCAAAATATTTTTTCGTTTTTTTAACGTTCCTCCTTTTTTTTTTTGGCGTTGGGTAATTGCTTACAGTGATTGCTGGAGAGATAGCTAATTTTGTGGCATACATTTACGCCCCTGCTGCGCTTGTGACGCCACTTGGTGCATTAAGTATTATTATTAGGTAAACGTTCATTTCTGACAAACGGTTCCTTACTTCTTTGATCAGTTTCACTTTATACATAACCCTATGATAAACTGTGTAATGTTGTGGAAATGAATTAGTGCGGTCTTAGCACATTTCATGTTGAACGAGAAGCTGCAGAAAATGGGCATGTTGGGGTGTCTTCTGTGCATAGTCGGATCCATTGTAGTTGTTCTCCATGCACCTGAGGAGAAGTCCCTTACTTCTGTTCTTGAAATTTGGGATTTGGCCACTCAACCAGGTATGCTACTTGAGCCTGATTTATATTCACTATGAAGTGCGTGCATGCTTTATTGGATTATCTTGACACGTACATTTTATTTTGGCATCCAGCATTCCTCTTGTATACGGCCTCTGCAATAGCTGTGGCTTTGGTATTGATTTTATATTGTGCTCCCCGCTATGGCCAAACCAATATTTTGGTTTACATTGGAACATGCTCTATAATTGGATCATTGACTGTAAGTGCCGCCAATAGATACCATGTCAATGTTGAAAGACAGCGTTTTTGTGATTTTGGTCATGTGTTGCTTACTGCATTTCGTTTGTCATTTCTGATATGTTATTTCACAGGTCATGAGTGTAAAAGCAATTGGCATTGCAATAGAACTTACATTAGAGGGCATAAACCAGGCTGTATACTACCAGACATGGATTTTTGCAATGGTCGCTATTACTTGCATCATTGTGCAATTAAATTATCTTAATATGGTCAGTATTTTGCAGTTCATAGTACTCTTTTTCTCTCTTAAAATACTTGTGGACATATATTTTGCATCGTGACGTCAACTGTGAAGGATCTGCTTCCTTCTTTGAGATACTTTCATAGCATATTGTTGTCTTTTCTCTGTATTTTAGGTGTGTATTCCCTGTGCAAAAAATTTCCTGGAGCATGTTTGGTTGCTATATTCTTGCCATGGGCATTTTACGGTTAACACTCAATATTTTTCTTATGTTTAATTCGGTGATGTTCAAACTTGCAACTGATGACAAGTGACAACCTGTGAATCCTGTACTATTGAGTTTTTGATTGTATTCATGGTGTAGGCTTATGACTTTGGTCGTTATAAAGCAAAATATAAGAAAACCCCGAATCAAATATTTCTAAATCAAAACCCCATTGCAAAGAATTACAGGTTTCCAAGATGTAAAATCTTGGTATTCAACATGTAAATCTCTTTGCCTAAGTAGCATCCATGTTATGCTTGTGATGAAGCCTGCTAAAGATGATAATCTTGACGTCCTGATTCTTGACTTTTCATTGACACTTGCTGCCATGCTTTTTGATTGTCATTATTTGTTTTGTTAATTGTATTTGATTTTCAATGTGTACTCATGAGTGGCTAACAACACATGCATGGTCGCAGGCATTGGATACTTTCAACACATCAGTTGTGTCTCCTATCTATTATGCCCTGTTCACATCTTTCACAATATTAGCAAGTGCAATCATGTTTAAGGTTGGTATTTTACAGAATTATAATGAGAGAAAAGAAAATGTGTTAGGCAAGGAAACATTTTATGGTTAAACCATCTGCCATCCTGACTTCCGTACTATTATCATTTAGGACTATTCTGGTCAAAGTGCAAGTAGTATTGTATCAGAGCTGTGTGGTTTCATCACTATTTTATCCGGAACAGCAGTATTACATAGTACAAGGGAGCCAGATCCTCCAATAACGGGTAATGCCTCATGCACTTCGTTACTATTACTTGCCACCTGGGAAATGGTGGGGGATAAGCCTAAGGTTAAACTTAATACAAATTTTAGATAATTTGAAGAAGTTGTTTTATTTTCTAGTTGAAGAGTACTTGCATTATTTTGACATGTCAGTGGTCATACATTCCGTGGAATAAATGATGATTCTTTCTCATAAAACGTTTGAGAGTAAAAACAGCAAATATAATAAGGAAGATAGGAAGAAAATGCTGGAAAGCTTTAGCAGCACGTTCTGGGACCTGAACATTCATCGGAATGTTTGTGAAAGAAATGTGGAAATATATTCTGTCATTGACTAAGAATTACTTTCTGAAGTAGGGCTCTCAAGTTGTTAGAGGACTTCCCCATAGTACCATTTGCTGAATGGTCAAAATTATATCAGCACACAAGGTGACTGGTGGAAGGCATTCTGAATAATTTATTTTCTGTCATATACTCACATCACTAAATTAGGGAACAGGATGAGTGGTTTATACGCATTGCTAATGTATCATTTTCAGTGATGCAGACGCCTTAGACTCATTTCTTTGCCAAGAGAAGAAATGTTGATAGAATATTTTTCCTGCATCTTCTCTAAGCACATAGGTTTTGTCTTAATTTATATCATTTATGTGAGAACCATTAGTAAAAGGATAATTGTTTCGATGGTCTATACAAATTGCTCTTTGGCTATTATGAAACTGAGGTTAGCTTTGTATTGACCACTTTTGCAACTAAGCCTTCATGTTTGTTGGTGAAAAACTCTGAACTACTAATATCTAGAATCTTATTTCTTCACCCATGTCATTCTAATTGGAGACTTCCATTTTATCCATGATACAATTTTTAATCTTTGGCGTAGAACTTCATAAATATTGTTGAACCCTGAATAGGCATCTGGAACTTCTAATTGCAGTTCACTAAAATTATACATATAAACAAATTTTAGTGCTATTGAAAAGAAAAGGTTAGAGACAAGTGAATAATCTCTTTGACAAAAAAGGTGGTAGAGTTCACTCAACTGGCATTCTATCAGACAAGGATTTAGTGGGATGCCTAGATGTGTAACTGCCACGCCTCAGAAAAATCTATATATGTTCTACATTGAGGTGTTCACTAGTTTCTGGTGATGTTCAATTTGAGAATTTTTTAAGTCATCTGTTTCTTTCTTCTTCTTTTTTAATTGAAAAAAAAAAAGAGGGGGGAAGACACTTGTCTGATTATTCTGGACATGCAGATTTATACACACCATTGTCTCCTAAAGTGTCATGGTATATCCATGACGGTACTGAACCTTGGAGGCCGGACGAAGATGCACCACCCTTCAATTTAGCCAAAATTATACGGCAAGACCATTTCAAGTGACAGGAGATTAACACGAAAATCAGATTAGTCCTTTGATGTCCTGCTAGTGAATCATGAGGCATCCTGATTTATTGTCTCAGCCCTTCCAATTGTTTAAGCACAAAAGCGTGCCATTATTGATAGAGTTGGGCTTTGTTCCAGTTTGCTTTAGCAAGAGATGTAAGAGATTGATCAACGTTGTGTTGGCAGAGAGGAGAAATTTCCTTCTTTTTCAGTTTTTTTTCCCCTTGAAATTTCTGGTAGATGTTCATAAGCCTGAGCTCTGTTCTTCATCCACAAGTTTGCATTCATGTTACCCTTTCAAGTTGAGTTGGTATCCCCATACCTTTTTTTCTCTTGTGGTTTGCCTCCTTTTTCCCCGGGGTTTACAACTAATTTATTTGCACAATGAAGATGCTTCCAGATTCTGGTTTGGGCCAGCCAAATGCTTGAAACTAACCCATGTAATGTGTATCACTGTGATGTTAATTATTTATTTAGAGCACCAATATTGGCCTGATAGTTGTCGACATGTGGTGTTCAAGCGCGAATTGTCTATGTACTGATCAGTTAGAATTGGAAGAGTCACGGACGCTCTACTGGCTTTGCGCGTGCAGCGGCAAAGCGAGTCCATATGTATTGTGGAAGTTTGATCTTCTGGTCATGTGTTTTATGGCCTTCTTATTTAGGGAGTAGGGGAAAAAATGTTGAAGTATTTTTCTTTTGTCGGTTTGGTTATTTATAAATTAAATCTTTTTGTCTCATGTTTTTTATCAATCAAAGTAGTACCTACATTAAATTAAAATGATGGTTACTTAACAAGTTAAGTAATAAAAAGTAAATGAATAAATTATCTCCAAATTTTAAAGCACAGTAAAATTATAGATTATGAATTTGTTTATTATGTAAATTATACTTTTAACTTTTAAAAATAGTATAATTTAGCCTTTGTCATCAATAAAAGCTAACTTTGATTATTAGTTGATTAAAAAATTTTAGCTTTGTTTTTGTAATTTTGGGGTCCTTTATTGTAAATTTTTTCCTCTTCTATAATTTTTGAAGTCTTTTTGTGATTTTCTAATCAACCTATGATTAAAATTAATTTTTTTTAATAATAGGGGTTAGATTGTTTTAGTTTTCAAAAATTAGACAGAATATATATATATAATAAACTATAACAAATGAGTTCAAAATTTATAGTGTTATTAAATTTAAAACTTAGAGAAAAATTTGTTCATTTACTTAATAATAGATAAATATAAGGGTGCTTTGATGGTTACTACTTGATGAAAAAATTTGCTCATACAAGTGAAATATTTATAATGTCTTTTTTAAATCTACCCAACATAATTTTTTTGGTTGGGCCTGGTAGCTGTGATAAAATTTAGCCGTTTTTAACAAGCTTATATTTAAGTGAGTCCGTATATAGTGTAGAATGTCAAAGATGAATACGATGCCTGATTTAATCGGATAGAACTTGAATGCTTTGGAACTTCCGTTTTGCATTTGGTGAAAAAATAAAATAAAAATAAAGCATGTTTGTGTTTTTATCTTGCATTCTACGGTCAGCCACTTAAAGGATTGCTACCATGCTGACCATAGAAGCCTTTCACGGAGAGTCACTTTGGGATTGTTAACCTGGAAACTTTAGGAAGCTAGAAATAGGAGACTCTTTGCTAATGCCTCGTTCACAGAACGCAGGCTTATGCATTAAGTATAGCATTTTAGACCAACATACTATTAGTCTTCATGATGATTCTAATTTTCTTTCCTCCTGACTTTGTTCTATTCTTTCGAGTTGTACATATTCAATGCGGCAAGCCTTTCTCGGTTAATCTAGCTGCCTTACAGTTTCCGTTGATGGAATGAATATACAGTTTCACTCAAACAAAAAGAGTGGATAGAGTTATTTGTCACATTGTCATTCATTTTTGGAATACCTTTTCTCTTTATTAGGTAGGACAATGTGGTAATCCCATCAAACATGAAAAAATACGGGCAAAATCCTAGAGATCTCACACAAAACTAAAATACATTAAGCAAGACCGTAACACAGGCGGCTGTAATTTAGTGGTAAGAATTTCGCATTGTGGCCATGGAGATCCTAACACAGCCACAATCAGTTCTACTTTTCATGTGTTGTTGCATGCCCTCTTGTAACCTTTTATTCTGCTGGCACGAGGTTGGAATGCTCCATTAAAAGCCGTGTGTTTATATCTATTATGATTTTTGAGTTAAGAATTGAAGCTTATTATAATAGAGAAAAAATTGAGCACAAGGCGCAACTCAACATTGGCGAAACATCCAGGTTAACACAATAGATCAATAATTAACGAAGGAATCACGAAAATAGTTTTTCTAGATCCAACAGAAAAGTCAAAATGGTTCCATCAATGAATCTTGTATCTCTCGGAAAAAGAAATCAGAATTGCAAAATCTACATCCAAATTCTGCAAAGCACAGGAAAGAATGTGCGAGGAGTTATCGTTTCTATGTGGTGACTAATAGATAGGCAAGGCCCTTTAGATATTCAACGATCTCTGATCCACCAAGCTTCGAACTCCCATATACTCTATCAACGAAAGTAATTGGAACCTGTACACAATCAAAACTTGCGTCGCGTCAACCCCAAATTGAACAATAGGATAATTTCTCTACCGAGAATTGCAGCGAGCACGATTAAGACGGGAGAAAATTGTTGAAGCACATCAAATAAAGAACGTTCAGGTATCTTGAAAAAAGAAAGTTCAGCTAAGCCCTGATAAAATATCTATAATCGCACACATTTGGAGCATCTTATACTTATTACGTCAGAAGATTCAACCACTTCTCCCTGATCATCAACCAGTCAGTCATGTTTGTATCCAGCCACAAGTGAATAATAATCTCGAAGCTGGCCAAATTAGAAGGCTGTAACTTCATCTTGGACTGAGAATACAGAGCTACAATAGATAATACACGTCTGCTCACGTCTGCTGCTTGCCTCATCAGGTCACCAAAAAACCACATACATGTCATCACTCTTCTCTAAATTTACTTTTGAGATCCTTTCATATACCAAAATTAGGGTGTGTATGCATTATTTACGAGACATTCTTTTGATTCACCAACAAATACCTTTAGCAGTACGAAATTATAATTCTTGGCCAAAGTCTCCCAAGAAAAATAATCACAAGCTACACTTAATTTGACAAAAATAAGTCAAAAATTGCAAGCTACTATTGAAAAGAAATTACAAAAGTTATTCAGGACACTTATGGATGAATTTTCCGATGCTTAATAACAATGCTCTCACTTATTTCGACAGCCACTTAGGCAGCTTAATAATCAGAAGGAAAAGAAGAAGAAAAAAAGAAAAAAACACAAAAAATACCCTCACTCCGTTTATCATATTCATAAGGAGGGTGAACCATACCTCTTTAATCTTGTACCGTTTTCTAGAAGCACGGACAATCATCTCCATTTGAAAGACATATCCCTTACTAACACAGCAACTAATAATATCTTCAAGCACTGATTTCCTGTAAAGTCTATAAAGAGAAGAGATAAATCATTCTTAAACAAGTGGAGCAACACTCTCAATCTACTACTTAATAGCACTTATCAAGTTTTATACCTAAAAGATCCTGTCAGATCAGAAACACCAGGCCATAAAAATGTTTGTGCAAGAACATTTGCTCCTCTGCTTGTTAATTTGCGCATCAGATTCCATCCATGCACACCGCCGCCCTTAACATAACGGGTTCCGGTGACTATATCAGCACTAGTTTCTGACTGCTTTCTGCAAAACGTAAATGGAAAATTAAATAACATAGGCAGATAAGAAATAATCAAGAAATTATTAGAAGGTTTTCTTACCTGATGAAGCTGGGCAAGTATTTTGGCTGCAGAAGAATTAAGCAAATCAGTAAACGAAAGGATGTAACAAGAACAAAATTCATTTAACAAATTTCCAAAATGGATATTCAAATTCAACTTAGAGTAGAAGACAACAAATGAATGGCATGATTCTCTCTGACTATAAATTATTAATTTGTCAAAGATTACCAATTGCATTCATGGACACAGGCATGTTCAAATGACAGTTGAATTAAAAAACTAAAACATTAAAGTGACATTTTAATCCCAAACATTATTTTGTTTAAACTCAATTCTGCCGAATTCTTTTCACCTTTTTTCTTCTACCACAACCCATTTATTTTCCCTAGTTCAATCATTTCGAATGGCAAACTATGATACAAATCTCAAGGGCACAACTTACATGATGTGATAGATCAGCATCCATGATGACAACAAAATTTCCAGATGCGTGCTTCAATCCATGAATGTAAGCCGTTCCTGGAATTTAATTGAATCAAATACCAGTTTTTCATATTTTATAACGGCCTAACAGTAGAAGGATGAGGTAAATACCTAAACCCAGCTTACTAGGTCTAGCTCTTAATAGCTGGAATCACGGAGAGAAAACGCTTAATATAAGATTAGCAAGAACTGAGAACCCAAAAGGTATATATATAAAGATCCAATTTCAAGTTTTGTAATTCTTACAATCCGATCTTCTCCATAAACTTTCTGCAACTGTTTTACGATATCCTGGGTGCCATCAGGGCTTCCGTCATCCACAACTATAATTTCAAAATCGATGTCCCTAATTGAGGATTGATCAATCAAAACGGAACATTCCAAAAATGCAAGATCGTTAATCACCATCGAGGAACAATATAACAAAAAATATATGATAACAGGGTCTTACAGTTACAGAAAAGCTCAGCCTTGCTCTTAAATTTTTCATTATGGGTTGAAACAAAGACATACAATTCAAAAACGCACAGGAACGCATTTTGATTTCCCAAAACGTAAAAATGCCACCTTAGATTTTCAGAAGGTCATGAGTGAAGTACAAATAGAACAAAGAAATAAAATAAATAATAATAAAACAAGAGATGGGGAATTTACTGGAGGTGCTTGAAAATAAGGTAGACGATGAGAGCGATGTTCAGGCGTTCATTATAAGTAGGAACGATGATACTGTACTTGTTCTTTGGGTTATTAAGCTGCACTTCCATTCTAATTGTAATCGGCAATTTGAATTCTCGCTCAATCCCAAAATTATAGTTCGAGTATCCAATTCAATTATCTTCTTCGTTGCCTCAATCGACGCAGTTTTTCTTTCCCGTTTTCACTTTCCAGGTAGCTAAGCGGAGAGCAGAATGGGGGGAAGGCAGCGTATATGCGTGCGGCGTAGCTAGTGTTTTAAAGTGAGATTAATCGTCATTTTCATTTGAAAACTTTTCTTAAAGGTGATTTTAAAGAATATGACTTTTTATAAAATACTTTTATAATTATTTAAATTAATGAATGAAAATTTTAAAATATTTTTTAAAAAATTTAGTTTAAAAATCATTATTTTTGAGTGAAGTGCATATTTAAAATATAAGACATCATATTTTAAATAAAAGTTATACTGAAATGAAAAACATAATTAAAAATTATTAGCAAAATTAATAACATAACCAATTAAACTGAGACTTCGTTGATTTAATTGAGATATAATAAGGGGGGGGATATTGTTGAAAGAATATGAAAAAAGGGTTGAAGGAGAAGTAAAAAGAAAAAATTATTATGGCATAAACATTCATTGTAATTTTTGAAATGCATAGTATCTCTTTATTATTTATGCTAAATGAGTAAATCAAGTACATATTTGGTTTACATCCTAACTTCAGTTAGAGTGAGTCAAATTGAGGTTAGGAAGTAAAAAAGTCAAAAAAATGATGTTGGGATTAATAAAATATATCAACATTGGTTAAAGCTAAATGAGCGTTAATTCAGAAGCTATTAGCATTGGCTTTTTCTCTTGCGTCGCGTTGATTTGGCCATTGGGAAGCTTTGATTAGCTTTTAAATTTTTGTGCTTTCTCTCCCCTCTCATTTATCTAACCTAAGAGCACGAGCTTGGCTTTTCATTTCACTGTGCTTTCTTCTCTTGTGACCTCGCAAGCTGATATTGAAGAACCAAATCGCAGCTTTACTTATAATGATTCAAATTATTTTCCAAAATTTAAGACAAAAATAATGAAAGTATGTACAATGATTTCTGGTAAATCTTGAATTCTCATATTTGAAGAGCTAGGATTGATGAAAGCCAAGCTTCCATCTTCATCACCACCACCAACGCAATGCTTTTTGCAGATCAATTGTGCGTGGAGGTGAGCTAAGAGAGAACAAGTATACGAAGTCTAGAGAGTAATCCAAGGCACACCATACTCCTGAGCAACAACAAGAGATGAACACGAAAGCATCGAAAATCACACACGTCACTCTCAAATTCCTCTCTAAAACCGCCATGCTTAGGCCCTGTTTCAGGTTTTGACGACTAGCTTCAAGAAAGAAGTTTAGCCTCCAAGATGGGTGGTGGTTGGTGAGGTCGAGACCATCGGGGATTCCATCGAAGACAGTGTAAAACTTGATGTTTTCGAGGATGGTGTTTCCTGAGTTTGGAAGATAAGAGGAAATGTTTGCTCTGTAGGGTGATGAAAAAGGAGAAGCTCACGTGAGGAGCAGCATGTGCTAGCTTGACAACGAGGTTAAGTAGAGGAGCAGTGTGAGTGCCGCAGGCGAAGGCGAAAGCTACCACATGCTTGCTCCAATTAGGCAAGGCTCCGCCCATGGTGGTGGCTATGGCTGAGAGTAGAACAGAGGTATGAAGACAACTACAGTAAAAAGGTGGCTATTGTTGAAATGATATTGACACCATGCTGGATTTGGTCTTATTTATAAGATTTTGTTTTTGTAATATTTATACTTCATTTCTTTAACTTTGTATTGCAAATTTTTTCTTTTACTTTCTCATGAACATGATGAAAAAAAGTCTCATTAGAACATGTAACTTATTAGGTTAGATTTAATGGGAGGAATTAATTCCTTACAATATAATAAATTAAATTTTAAATTATCTTGAAAAGAGGGATACTCGTATTTAGTGATCAGAAATGCTTCGAACGTAATTGTGATTTTAAGTTTAATATTTTTTACTTATTAATTAGTCAAAAAATATTAATATACTTATTTAAGATAAAAAAATTTCATGCTTATTTTTGGTATTAAATATCTCAATTGATTTTTAAATTAAATTATTTAAACGAATTTCAATTTATCTAACTGACTTTAAAAAAAAATATTCAAACATAAATCACGTTATATTAACTAATTTTTTTAATCTCAATTTATTAACTTTAATATAATCCTAATTTTAATTATAAATTTTTTAATTTAAATACACTCCAAAATTGTCCAAACAGTATTTATTGTTGGGCTTCGTAATCACATTTGTTTGAGTTGCACACAACCCAGTTTGACCGGAGTATCAGCGGTAACACCAGCTAGGCCACTTGTCCTACTCTACTCAACTCTCTTCCTCTCTTTGTTATGTCTGGGTTTTTAAGTTAATTTGCTTTAATTTGTTTTTACATTTATCTCAAATTCTAACGAGTACAAGCAATCTGCATCTGTAATTTTTCACTTGAGTTTTTTTTTTTGAGAGAATAAACTGGAGTAAAAGGAAAAAAAAAAGGAAGGAATATGTCTATAGCTAACACTTTATTGCAGCATCCAAACACTGTTCAGTTTTTCTGCATCCTACTCTTGCAGTCACCTCCCTACAATTTATTTCAGCTCTGTACATCGTCTTATCACTCAAGAATATCTCCCTTTTTTAATATATATATATATATATTTATATTTTTACTGGTTTGGATGATGATTAGTTCGGAAATGATGTAATGAACAGTGATTTATGATTACACATACACTAGCGTGATCATCGAATCATCATTCTGTTTTCTAATTACATAATCAGATGGGAACTTGATTAAAGAGAACCCTACGGATGCCATTCAATCAGTAAGCGAACTGTTCATTGGGGGAAAAAAAATCAATAAGCGAACTACCTTTTCCCCCCCTTGGGATAAATGAATGCACACAGAGTAGTCCATCCACACCGGAGACCGGAGCGGAGAGGCATCATGCAGTGCCGCCGGAGTGCTCTAGTTGGATCCATTGTTTAATCTTTAAGATTGGCTGCTTATAATTTATATATTGTACTTCAGAATGTTGATTCTCGTCCTTATCCTTTTGTCTCCGTCCAATAATAGTCTCTTCCTGGGCCTATTCAGACGGATAAATTGTGGCTATTTTCTATTAACAAAATTCAAATAACTTCGTACAACTCAAAGATGCCAATGCAATACAAATCAATTACAGCATTTTGCGCAGGAATATATAATATACGGACCAAATATATACAAAATTAACATGATTGTAGGTCCACTAAGGACCAAAGTTTTACAGCCAAGTAACAAGCATGGTAAATCTCCCAAAAAGTCAAATGCAGTGACTCCTTCCTATTGTGGCAGCACCTCCAGACATGATGCATCTTCCCATGGTAGAAACGATCCTTCTTGAGATAAATTCTGTCATCGCACAAATTATGAATCAAAAGGTGATGCTACCACATAACATCTAATTTTCCATGCCCCAACTCCCAACAATAATCCTCAATGCATTATTTGAAAGCCATTCTTTCTGCAGAATACACGCGATAATCTAGAAATATTCAATGTTTTTACAAGCCTTTTCATGACTTGACGTTGAGTATATTTATATCCCTTGTTATCTTCTTCTTGTTTTTTTTTTCTTGTGGGGGGGGGGTTAATGAATAGAAAAGATCAGGATGTGGAAGTTTAAATTCATAAGAAGGTTACGTGTATGCAAGCACGGTAAGACAGAAGGATATGATTAAGGAGCATGCATATATATTAAAACGATTCAGCTTATTTAGGGTTTATTTCGTGAATAATCTCATTCATACCATGCGAAGGAATGCTTTCATAAAGTGCTGCTACTTGCTACATGGCATCATGTGGACCCAGATCTAGGAGCACATAATTCTTACCGACTTGTCAAGGAAGAATGAGCTAAAGCAGACACTGATAAGAAAGCTTACTACAGGAAAGGTTCAAAGCAAACTGTTGCTGAGTAATCTCATAAACAAAGCCGAATAAATGCACAAAAGGACTACAATCTAGAATGAATGTTAATATCTACCCACAAAAGACATACTGAACACTTTAAATCTTAAAATGTGTAAAAAGCAAGATATGTTCATTTCCACGTAGAGGATGGCGTCATGAATTGAGCAGCGCCAGAAGAATCAAAACAGTTAAAACGAATGTATAGGATGCTAAAAATCCAAACATACTGTCATCCAATAGAAATATCCACGTAGGAGATTCAGAACTCTGGGATGATCATCACGAACTGAATATAATCTCTTTGCAAGATCTGCACATTCAGCTCGAAACTCAAAATTTACTGATCTTGAACAAGGAATGCCAAGAGACAACAAGAAAACTAAAATGAAGGAATCTAGACTAAATGTACTCGTGTCAGTAGATTTTATTATGCACAGGCAAACAAAGGTAGTGTCATACATGCAAAAGCTACATTGCAGGTGGCAGAATGTACCAAAGCACAGCGATAAATCCTACTTACCAGCATGGTAATCAAGAATAGACTTTGGAGGACGAGTGTCGTCGTCATAGCTTTTTGTACACGAACGTAAAACTCTTTGGCTTTGCACTGGTTTTTTTTCACTAAGTTGTTTAAGAAGCATCCAGTACTCTTCCTCAGAGTAAGGTCTCTTAAGATCATCCATGAGTTTATCTCTAAATTCTGTGTGTTTCCGTGCACGGGCTTTATGTTTGTGCCACCACTGATCCACATTCACCTGGGAGGCAGCAAAGGAATCCAAATGTTCAAATTTTTAGATTCAAACGCTAAAAACAATATACATAAAGCAAAACAAAGAATAAAAAGTTGAAATAAAGCAAAAATGATGGATTCATCAAATTTGCGATACGTACAGGTTCTTGTTGTTTTATCAGGGGCCTTTTTAAGTCAGGAAGATGGTCTTTTTGTTCTTCTTCTTCTTCTTTCACTGTGAAATCGACGTTCGGTTGAACAGCGGTACTAATGGCAAGAGGTCGTTTTGGTTTCCTACCCCTGCGCGTCGTCGCCCTTGGACGCGCATTCTTTTGAAGAGGTTGGTTTTGGTTTTGTTTCCTACCTGCGGTATTATGAAGCTGCTCTGCCTCAGAGTTCAAATTCGTGTCGACAGAAATAAGGTGGGTCCAATCGTCAAGGTTAGACTCAGAGCGTGTTGCCGTTGGTAATGTAGAATCCTCTAGTTCCGCTGCCTCGTATTTAACAAAGATACCGTCTTCCGGGATGTCAAGCACATAAGAATTTCCGTCAAGCCTCAAGTGATCCAAGAAAAAACTATACATGTCCTCATTGGTTGATACAGCTCTGTTTTCTTCCAGGAGATGGAGCAGCTGGGATTTGACACTGTCGTAGAGGTCGCCAGCAAAATTCACGACATCCGGGTCGGCCAGTGGATTATGAACGTGAAAAGCTTCGGATAGAGAAGTAAAGAAGCTGAGTTTGTCGGTTCTTGATTGGAGGCTCCTGCTCTTGTTGCGCACGTGAGTAGAAATATCATGGTGACAATCCCAAGACTCGTACTTGACCTTGTCGTCCAATTCCGCTACCGGTTTCTCTGGGTTGGCCGCCATTGCATCCCTAAATTATGACCCCACCCTCTATGCCCTAAGTTTGTTTCTTTAACTTTAACCTTAATTTATGAATTAACTGTTTCATAATTAATTATTATTTACACAATCAACCATTAAAATGAAAGAGAAAGCCTAACCTTTGCAGTTCAGGCGTTTCAGAGGTACGATGCTCAAGTGTTGGCAAGGGACTCGAGGGGGACGGGGAAGGAGACGACCTTGTGTTGAAGTGCAGCTCAAAGGAGTTTGTAATATATATATATATATATATATATTGACCATTTATATGATATTTTTTGAAGGATTAAATATTTAAGAATATAAAATATTTTTAATTTTTAAAAATATAATAATTATTTTTTTAAAATGTTCCTATTAAATATTAAATAAGTTATTTTATATTTATTTTAAAAAATTTATAAGAGTAAATATAAAAATTTAAAATTAATTTAAAAATAAGTAATTATTTTATTAAAAAATAAAATTTAATTAAACGGAGGAAGTATATTTTTGAAAATATATGTGTGTAATCCGTTTTAACACGTTTTGGAAGCTTTGTCCGAGTAATTGATATTTTATAATTACTTAAAGTATATTTCTTTCTCTAATTTCATATAATATTTTAATTTAATTTTTTAATATATATTTTAGTCCTTTAATTTTAATATCATTAATTTTAAATAATTATTTTTTAGGTTAATTATTGTGATTTAAAAAATAGGCTTGATAAATTAACAATTGAAATACTTTGTTAATATTTAAAATTTCAATGTAAAATTTTTTCATAATAAAACTAATTATGTTAAGATTAAAAAAATTAAAAATACACTTTATAAAATTAAGAGATAAAAATAAAAACTTATATAAAATTAAAAAATAAAAAATATATTTTAACTTTCACAATTTAATGAAATCATTTATTAATGCACCAACTCAAGTTGTTCTAGATGGTAAGATTTTTATTACTTAAACAATTAAGTGGGATTTCAATCCAAACCCTGTCATTCCTTATACTCATGGAAAAAAAAAATCATTTATCAATCTTTCATCAATTTCACCCTTTTTTTAATAAAATGGGAAAATTTATTAACTCAAAGGAAAAAACTGTATAAGGTTCCGAAATAACAACTTCAAAGCATAAACTAAGAAAAATCACATCGAAGTATAAGTAGAAAAGCATCTGAACCCTTAGGTCATGTTTGATATATTAAATTTAGATCCAAGAGAAATGGAACTGAAATTGAAATCATGATTTTAATTGTTTGGTATGCATGAATCTAATTCTTTATGGATTTCAATTCTATCAAAATACTTAAAATTCAATTCCATCTTCATCATGATGGAATTGCCACAATTCCATGAAATTGTCATAACTGCCCCACATACACACTCCATCATGATGGCTGAGTTTTTTTTTATAAGGGTATTTTGGTCTTTATCTATTTTAAATACATATATTTATTAATATTATATTTAAATTTCATCTTCATACCAAACACACTTTTAAAACTCAATTCTATTCCGATTTCGATTTCAATTCCAATTCCGATTCTAATTCTGATTCCATTAAAAACTCTTCCATCATATCAAGCGAGGCCTTATTTAATACGAGAGAATGAAGAAGTAGAATTGGTGTTGGGACTAACCAGTACCAAGTTTTTGTATCTGGTACATAAAAATAAAAATTTTAATTCCAGCCCCAACCCCTTACTTAGTACCGCTATAATTGAAAAATCATTTATGGGATTGATTTTTGTAAGACTAAAATGGCCCTATCTCTGCCACGACAGCCCGTCATTTTCATTTCTTCTTCCATTTGTTTAGATCACCATCTTGGTCAAATCATCACTAGGTTCAAACCTTCTCGGGCTCCATTTTCTTATCTTCATCTTCGAACCAAGGTTAGGGGCGTCGGCGGGAGTTCGAGAGTCTAGATCCCATCATCATCTCCCTTAGTTCAAGAGTCCAGATCTGATTCGAGTTTGTTGCTTTCGAGATCCCAGTCACATGGCTGTCGAACCTAGATCCATGTCTTGCAGCATTTGCTTCGTCGCTTCCAAGTTGTCAGATGAGATGGTGTAGAGCTGGGTCTTTCCAAGTTGTAGGACGACTTGTAGCGTATGCTCTGTCAAGATTGATGCTAGTGAGATGGACGAGAGCGAGAGCTAAGGAAGGAAAAACTGTGATCGCGGTGCGGAGGGAGGGATGGGAATCTCACGGCAGAGAAAATGGGTGTTCAGGACTACAATTCTTTTATTAATTATGAGGGTATTATTGTCTTTTAATAATTTATATTTAATTATAAGATAAGTATTCCATATCATTATTACTTCACACTAAATATAATTTTAAAATCTCAACCTCACTCCCGGTGCTAGTACCAATCTCATTACAAAATTTTAATTTTAATTCCTCTAAATTCAAGCCCTCGTACCAAATAAAGTTTTAGAGTGTGATTAACAATATCGTCAATATGGAGAAGGACACTGATGGGGACAATCAAATTCACCCTTTTATAGTCAGATAAGTAAGAATGAATAATAAGAATATTTTAATAAAAAAGTATTGAATTTTGATGATTTTAAAACTATTTATTAGCACCCTTAATTTATACATATTCATCCCTGTCTTTAACATAACATACATTCTAAATTTTTTTTACAAAAAGTCAATAATATTAATTTTTTCTAAAAATACTCTTACTAATTATATTGTAGGAAAAGATGATATAAGAAAGAAAGTAAAGATAAATAAAATAAAATTTTAAATTGAAAGGCAATTTTGAAAAATAGTAATACTTTTTCATAATTTTAATGATACCAACTATTTTTAACTATTTTTAATTTCTATGAATTAGTTGGAGGTGTTTTATACTGAATATTGTAAGGAGTATATACAATTTTAAAATGCCATATGTTTCAAAATTGAAGAAATATCTTATATTAAAAATATCTAAGTAAATTTATGTTTTTTATTGCAATGTGTATCTTTGAATTGAAGATAATTTTATTTGAGGCATGATCAAACATTAAATATTGGTATATTTTTCACTGGAGATTTATATTTTTTTATAAAAAATGAAATAATAACTTTATAATTAAATTAAACTTTTTTGATGAAATAATTAAATTAAACTTTAATATGCAAGAGGCATATACTTTTGGTGGTGGCGGTCTAATTTTTGGCGCCTTTTAAAAGTGTGCACATCTGGGGAAATTCGCAGAGGCGTTGTCGGGACACAAGGAAAGGAGACATAAATCCAAACTGGATCATAGTGGAAGCTTCTTTCCACAGTTCAGCACTTTCGGAATATTTTCATCGAATTATATTGAGAAAAAGATAAAAGTTATTACATTGTTTATGATAAAAAATGTGAGTCTCAGCCAAGCCAAAAAGTGTTCATCCTAATGGAAGGATATGATTGTTTCAATGCGAAATCTTGAGACCGTCTAAATATAAAATTTTTTTCTATGAAGACCATCTTAATTAATCCCGGCACCACTTGAATATGATGTAGTCGAATAACTACATAAAAAAAAAAAAAAATCACATTTTCAATTCAGTGGGATTCTTTTTGGTCTCCCACCACTAGCACCACCGAGCATCCCTCCTGCCCTACTCTTTCAGCATTAGGCAACGCAGAAACTGGCCATTTTCTTTTTCTACAATTTTTAGTCCTTAATTGCATTGGCCATTGACCAGTGGGCCCATGTCACTCACTTTAGTTGGTCTTGACTGTTTCCTTCTTGACAATAATAAATGTCTCCTCCTTCGCCTCCTTCTCTCCCATCAATGTTCATGCTCCAGTAAGTCCCCCATGTCTCCAGCCAGTGAGTTTCTTGCTTCCCTCTTGTGTCTCTTTATCTTCTCACAAAGGTTACTTTTTTCTGTGAAATAGTAGAACTATATTTCAATTCAGTGATTGATGTGGATAGCTCGTTCTTGTTAATATGTCAGGTATCAACTTTCCAAGATGAAAATCATTTCTTGAGGTTCTTTATGCATGATACATATATTTTTTTACTTTCCCAGGTGAATATTCCTCCCAGATCAAAGAGGCTTATATTCCTCTAAAACGAATGACCAGGTGGCTAGTATTCTTGGCCATCTTAGGACTCAGCTGTGCAACCACTGGTCCTGATGTGGAAGGTGAAGCTTTGTTAGATTTTTTGAGGGTTCTCAATGATTCCAACCATCAAATGACAGATTGGAATAGTTTTCTTGTGAGCCCTTGCTTTAGTTGGTCTCATGTAACATGTAGAGACGGACATGTCATATCTCTGTAAGTATAACCATGTTAAAAGGAAAGGACAGATCTGCATCCACCCTCTTTTCTGATATATTAGTTTTTCTTCCATGTACGTATCCTATGTAGGAAGTTTAATTTGTTAAATTCTTTTGTGATTTGGTCTGTCAACTGAACTATGCAGGAGCTTGGGTTCAAAAGGCTTTACTGGAACGCTGTCTCCTTCAATTACCAAATTGAAATACTTGATTACCTTGTAAGTTGGCATTTGTAAGGTTCAGCTATACTGCCACAGTGCTACTGCGCTGGTTCAGCTAATCAGAGAAACGTTGTTTGTCATGAGTAATTTTTTAGGCTAGTAGTATAAAGAATAATTCATAAGAACTCTATAAAGAAGATTTTCCAGTAATTTAAATCAAGATCTATGGGTTGACAAGAACTTCCTTTTCAACTTCTTGAGATTCTCATCCTCTGTTACAAGCTTGAAAATTCAATTTCTAAATACTCATTTCTTAAATGGTTAATTAACTACATTAATTATCACAGGGAATTGCAGAACAATAGCCTTTCAGGTTCCTTACCTGATTACATTGCCAGCTTCACACACCTGCAATATCTAAATCTTGCTGACAATAATTTCAATGGTTCTATACCGTCGACATGGGGTCAACTTTCCTCTCTGAGGACTCTGTAAGGATGCACTTTCCATCTTTTGCATGCTCTTGTCCCTCCTTATAAGAATTAAGTATCATATGAAAGCCTTTTGAGAGGTTAACCATTATATGATTGCAAGTGACGATGGTTACTCAGGGTATTGAGAGGGAATGACTTGTCTGGACGCATACCGGATTCTGTTGAAAATCTTAGTGGGTTATCAGAATTGTAAGAATTTCTATTCTGATAAATTTTTTGGTTACTAGTTTTTGGGATTTCTCCTACCCTGAATTTGCACGCAGAATGATAGTACATCTATACGCTGTGATTTCTATTTTGACAGGGATCTTTCTTTTAATAATTTAACTGGATCCATCCCAAAGCACCTCTTTTCAATTCCAATCTTCAGGTAATATTTATTTTAAGTTGAAATACTCAAGTTTTCTAGAATCTCCTTAGGATAGCTGTATTCTGAAAAGAACGGCTTGTCTTTTGTTACTTTATCATTTTCAGCTTTTCAGATACGGACCTTCATTGTGGCTCTAGTTTGGAGCAGCCTTGTGTTTCTAATTCAGCTATTTCAGGTTTTATTTTCACTTTTCCTTTGTCTCATATAGCTTTTGACATCCGGAGGGTACTTAACTTAAAGTTTATATTTTCCTGCAGCCTCAACTAACAAATCAAAAGTAGCTGTGGCTTTAAGTTTGGCAAGTTGTGGCGCATTTGGAATTCTGTGTTTAGGGGCCATCTTTTCATATGTATGCCATTACATTCAAAGACACAAAAATGATGTTTTCGTTGATGTCTCAGGTATTTTACTATCATGCCTGCTTCCTTCTATTCATTTATCTCCATCGCTTTGAATGGAATTTGAATGATTTTGAAGTGTTCAGAGTCATACTTGTTGCATACTTCTGGACAACCCGTTTGAAAAGTAACATTTGATCAGGTGAAGATGAGAGCAAGATTTCATTTGGGCAACTGAGAAGATTTTCTCTGCGAGAACTTCATCTAGCAACAACAAATTTCAGTGAAAGCAACGTGATTGGCCAAGGAGGCTTTGGAAAAGTGTACAAAGGAGTACTCTCAGATAATACAAGGATTGCAGTGAAACGCCTGGCTGATTATCATAATCCTGGCGGAGAGGCTGCATTCCAAAGAGAAGTTCAACTTATAAGCGTTGCAGTTCATAGAAATCTCCTGCGTTTGATGGGGTTCTGCACAACTTCAACAGAAAGAATCCTTGTATATCCTTTCATGGAAAATCTAAGTGTTGCATATCGTTTGAGAGGTAATACAGCCACTTTTTCTTCGCTAGTGGAATTTGACTTGCTGTAATGTTAAACGAAGATTGGAGTTAAATTCTTGACACTATTTTCTGAATGCCGCATTAGATTTGAAACCTAAAGAGAAAGGTCTGGACTGGCCAACGAGGAAACGTATTGCATTTGGTACAGCGCATGGATTAGAGTATTTGCACGAGCAATGTAATCCTAAGATCATACACCGTGATTTAAAGGCTGCAAACATCCTACTAGACGATGAATTTGAAGCAGTTCTGGGAGATTTTGGGCTAGCAAAGCTAGTTGATACAAGACTGACTAGTGTTACCACTCAAGTAAGGGGTACAATGGGACATATAGCCCCAGAATACCTGTCCACAGGAAAATCATCAGGGAAAACAGACGTCTTTGGATATGGCATAACACTTCTTGAAATCGTGACAGGTCAGCGAGCAATTGACTTCTCACGACTGGAAGAGGAGGAGGATGTTCTTCTGCTAGATCATGTAAGCTTCTTGTCATCACTTGTATCTTGACATACATAAATGGTTATTATTGTTACTGACGATGAACCTTTCGTGTTGAACACTGCAGATTAAGAAGCTGCTGAGAGAGAAGAGGATAAGGGACATAGTGGACAAGAATTTGGAGAGTTATGATGCAAAAGAAGTAGAGAGGAGTATTCAAGTGGCATTGCTTTGCACGCAAGGCTCACCTGAGGATCGACCAAGCATGTCAGAGGTGGTGAACTTGCTGAATGGAGAAGGTTTGGCAGAGCGATGGGCTGAGTGGGAGCAAATGGAAGAGATGAACAGTAGAGAAATGTCACTATTAGCTCACCAATTTGCTTGGGCTGTTGAATCCACGCATGATCAAGAGTCAATTCAGCTTTCCTGGGCAAGATAAAAATAGATAAGGCTTGCAGGACTGTTTTGAAAGACAAGTGCTTCTAACTCAAGCACGTGCGCATGTACCTTATAAATAGGGTGTGATAGACAGTGTTCGATATCCAATGAACCACAAAAATAGAAGGGGGGGGATTTTTCCGTATCAAGCCTCTATTTTTGGCATAGATGAGCCGTTGTAGAATATTAGAGGCAAAGCCAAGTTTCTAGTGACGACACTCTTTGTGGACGTGCCTTATGTGGACTTTGCATGAGAGATAATATTGCTAGTCTTCGCTTGAAGAATGGATAAAATCTTTCTATTTTAATCTGGTTTCTATTTATCTTGAAATATCCCTAAGATATCTAGTTTGAACACAATTTAAAAAAAAACGCTGCTGCGAAACATATTACGTATACTTCAATTTGGTATAACTTTTATCTTCATATTTAAAATCATCTGTATTAATATCAATGTAAAATGCATAGGGAAAAGACATGAATTGTATTCACAAGTCAAATACAATTTGACTCATTTTAATTTATATACAACTCTAACTTTTTAATAAAATCCACTCATTTGTATATAAATTGGATATTCGGTTATTCACATTTTGTGAAAACTAAATGAAAAAATATAATATTGAGTTCTTATACTTTGTTTAAATTTTGTTATAGATCCCTATCTTTTTTTTCTTAATATTTTAAGTACTTTTATGTGTAGTATTACAAGGACTTAGAATATTAATAAAAGATATAAAGATCTATAATAAAATTTAAACAAATATGAGGATCTAAAGTTATGTTTTTTTTTAAATTAAAACATAAAAATTTTGTAATTTTAAAAAGGACAAATGGACTTATTGGCCGAAAAAAAATTATATCCAAAAAATATGGATTAAATTTTGAAAAATTTAAAAATATAATCAATTCATATTGATATACAAAAAATTTATTATTGATATGTAAGAAGTTTATCATTAGTATATAAAATATTTATCATTAAAAATTTAAAAATTTATAAGATGCTTATCATTGATATACAATTGTATATTATTGACAAATATAATAAATTAATTATAATATTTTTTTATTTTAATTATATAATATGGATTATACCTACAAAAATTTCTTTTAAAAATATCTTATCTTCTTCAAAATTGGAGCCAGCGCTTTTGTATTTTTGACCTGCTTTTGAGTTTTAGATATTTACAATTTTGAAATGAATCCAGGTTATAACATTTTATTTGAAGTATAAATATAAAATATATAAATTTTAACGAATAATAATCAAAATACTTTTAGGACAGCTTCTAAAAATCTCAGAACAGAACGCTCAACTACTTGGCTAAATGCATAGAATCTAATTAAAAATTTTAATTAATATATTGCATTGTTTGCTAGTAATGTACTTTATAACACACCAAATTTTTTTTTAAAATAATTTAACTCAACCATAGTTGGGTTACAGCCACCCAACACATTTTTATATCAATAATTTCAATATAAAATATTTTATAATTGGCTTCAACTCACACACTATAACATTTCAGATAAATTTTTACCTCTCAAATGTCATTAGGCTAAATCACATTTGTCCATCCTTATACTCCCAACAAGTAAACTAAATCACATTTGTCCATCCTTATACTCCCAACAAGTAAAATAAGTAATTTAGTCAATTTTCAACACAAGCCAGTTATTTGGCCTTATAATCATGTCATTTTAACCAATCCAAAGTAAACCAAATATTAAAATTACAGTCATCCAAATTGTACCAAAAATAGAAATAGTTTGAAAGGCATGATTACATTTATATATTCATATAATTGACAATAAACAAAAAGCCCTAGTATTGGCAATATAACACATTATAAATCATAAATTAAATACCCAAAAGAGACAGTGGATCTATACCACTAAGCCTCTGGAACCCCTCCACGTATCACTCGTGGCTCTTCTCCTGAAAATTGTTAACCACATAATGAGACTCAAAAGTCCCAGTAACCAAAGCCAATTTATGATAGTGTATACAAACAATTAAGTGTGTGCTTACTAAGTGAGAATTAAAAATAATATAATTCCAACAAATATAAGAAATATTACAATACACACAAACAACCATCCTTATATCCCTCCATTAACCTCGAGCCGTAGCCCTCACTCGGTGCTAAATTACCCGGCCAAAGGTAGATTAGCCCGAGCCCTTACAAACCACCTATTGAGCTCCAATAGGGGCATACCACGTGGCACATAAATACAATAATAATAGCAAGTCTCCCAACACCTCCCACAATAATCAAACAAATTCATAATAATATTGCACAATTATACAATATTACAAAATTCATAATTTTCTCAATAATCACCCAATTAACATGAAGTAACACTAATCACAAATTAAAAGCATGGTTACCTTGTGGCTTTTTCAATAAATTATTCCTTAAAATTTCTCTCTCACCACAATCTTCACCAGTAATACAATCTACAAATAACATATTATTTATAAATATTAGTTTCAATTTTTGAAACTAATAAAATAATTCTAATAATATAATTAAAAATATAATATAATTCCTAATTTCAATCTTAATACAAATCTATAGTTAATACAATTAAGTAAAATTTTTAACTCCTCTTTTAATTATCAATAAACATTGATAATCTAAAAATCAAATTTTAAACTAATTTCTATTATCAAAATTTTCTTTTTATTTTATAAATTCGTACCTAAAATACCCAAAAATTAAAAATTGAGTCTCTAGTTTAAAATCATAATCCTATAACCATAATAATTCATTTCTCATCCCAAATAATCATCTAAACCTCAATAAATCAACATATATTTTCAGATCTAGTCTAGAATTTGATCCATAAGCCACAAATTCAAAGATCATCAATAAATTTATACTGTAGAACATTTATTATACTACTGACAACCTCAAAAATCATATTTATTCAACATAAATTCATCCCTCTTCTAGATCTTAAATTTTCTACCACTACAAACTCAGAAACCAAAGAAAAAGGATGACTAAGAAAAAATTTTAGAACACTTACTTAGTCTTGAAAAGCTTAAAATCACACCCTAAATATCCTATTAAAAACTCTTACCTTAAAAATTTAGATATTTTGCACCGGTGACTCGCGTTTTCTCCGCCTCAACTCGCGCGCAGGAATGAATGAGGAAATGAAGGAAGGTGAGTTTTTATAAAAATTCAGTGGGTCTCACATTTTTTTTAATTATTTTCTCTCTCTTCTTCTTCTTTTTTTTATTATTATTATATTTTACTGTTGAGACGGCGGCTACGTTCACGTTTTCTTCCTTTCTTTCTTGTTTTTACACTTTTTTTTATTATAATAATAATTTAATAATATTATTTTTTTTAATTTTTTTTTTTAAAAATTATTTTTTTTTTAAATTTCTATTAACCTAAATTAACTATTAAAATTTATATTGGGATGTTACATACTTTACCCTAAATTTTTTTATTATATTAATATTGTAAATTGATATTATACAATAATTTTTCCTTACTTTGGCTGTTTTTTTTTTTTTTTTTTAAAGAGACTGGGAGACTGTGAAGCAGTGTCTGTCTGTCTATAGCCCTCGGCAGCCAAAGGTGGTGGCACTCACAGTAGGGTTTTTGGTTGTGTGTAGCTTGTCATCGTCGGCGGCGAAATCGATGCCTCGAAGCCAGTCGCGCTCTCCGTCGTACAGGAGGAGATATTCTCCGTCCCCTGTGGGTCATCGTCACGGCCGCAGAAGCCGAAGGGATCGAAGCCGCTCACCCTATTCCAATTCTACCCGCACCTGGTCTTCTTTCTGTCTCTGTCTACTCCTCGTCCAAGTTTTCTTTAAAGCCTCGACCTTTGTTTTGCTACATTGATTGGATTTTTTACTCTCCTTTAATTCAAGTGGTGTCCTTGTTCTTCGCATCATATAAGAAATTGACTTTTATTATTCCGGAGAGATGGATTCGTGTTTGAAACTTCTGCCCTGTGTTGGCATTTGTATGGATTTTGGAAATTCTTGGTTATGCTGTAATTTTGAAGCGGGGTCTGGATCTGCTGTTTGATTTCAGGCGAAGAAGTCGCTCCCCAAGTCATAAGCGTAGAAGAACACGGTCTCCAGCTCCTAGGCATCGTAGGAGACACAAAAGTAGGAGCTCCTCATTGTCTCCATTACCTAAATCTCGTAGTTCTAGCCCTGTTTCAAATGATAATAAAGCTACCTCTGATAAACTTAAAAAAGAGGAAGAAGAAAAGAAAAGGTAAAGATTTTGATTCTTGCGCCATTTTTTGTGATTTCTCTTCACAGAACACTCGGATACTTATCATGTCTATGAGATTTTAATTTATTTACTCAGAATAAGTTTGGTTAATGAAAGGCATACATGTTCATCTTAGGCAAGAATCTTTTATAGAAGCCGTGCTTGAGCCTGGTACATTGAATTTATAAAGCGTGAACTGCGTTTAATTATCAATATCATGTATGTGGCTGATTAACACAAAAAGCTATACTGGCTGGTCAATTACATAAAAAAAAAAAAAATTGATGCGAGGAATTATGTATACTACTTAGGCAAATTCTTGCCGTTTGTAAGGATTCATCAGATTATTGGCTTATAAGTTGAACTTTGAAGATAACATGTTTATAGCTAGAGGTGTCTGAATCAACTCCCATCTTTGCTTGTGCCAGATATGAGATTCACTTTGAAAATGCAACAGCTTAAATTCTTCTCTACTGGCTTTTCTGAAGGAAGCTACTGCATAGTTCAACTTGTATGTTATATATGATGAACAATTGGTGGGAAGTTTATCTACTGTTCCATAAGAAACTTCATATGTGTGGATCAGGAACTTGTTAAGAGGTATGCCTTATAAGCGTAAGCTCATCTTTTCCATGTTAATGGAATGACCTGGATTGGAAACTGGAAATTAAGTATGAAAATGAAGTATTAATCTATTCCTATCGTGTTTTCCCATTGTCATCTAGGATTAGGCAGCTGATGTAATTATGACTTGCTTCTAGCCCTTTATTTTTCATCGGCAACCACATATCTTCTTGAACATTTGCGCTTTTCTAACAGGCGTCAACATGAGGAAGAATTGAAATTATTGGAAGAGGAAACTGCACTGAGACTGGAAGAAGCAATACGGAAAAATGTTGAGGAGAAGCTAAGTTCAGAGGAAGTGAAGTTAGAAATAGAAAGGCGCATAGCAGAGGGTGTGAAAAAATTGTTTGATGATGTCGAAGCTCAACTTGAAAAAGAAAAGGAAGATGCTCTCAGTGAGGCTAGAAGGAAAGAAGTAAGTATGCTAACTTGAACTTTTTTTCAAAAGAGAAAGCTGAGGCAGGCTATTGATACTGCATATTGCATAGCCTTGCAACATCAAGTGTCATAATTGCTGCATTTTATAAACCGGACATAGACAAATGATACATAATAATGTAGCCTGAGCCCTGGGATACCTTAGAGGATCATAATACAATTTGGCATGATTATTGTATTCTCTGGAAAATCACTTGCCACTCGACTGTTATAATGTCATTATGTTGCTTTACAGGAACAAGCTCGTAAAGAGAGAGAAGAACTGGATATGATGCTTGAGGAAAATAGAAGGAGAGTTGAAGAGGCTCAGAGAAGAGAAGCCATAGAGCTGCAAAGGAAGGAGGAAGAACGTCAAAGGGAATTAGAGATGATTCAGAGACAGAAAGAAGAGGCTGCTCGGAGAAAGAAACTTGAAGAGGAGGAAGAATATGCCAATCGCATGAATTCTTTGGGTAAGAATAAGGCCAGGCCAAAGTCTTTTGGTTTTTAACTACAAGTCTGGTGTCATTGGCACCTCTACTTGTATCAGTGTACCATTGACAGAAACCTTGTATCATGGAAGATTTCGATCTTGTGGTCTATTACCTCAAAGAAATGGCTTCAAATTAGAAATGAGTTTTCCTGCAGTGAATCCATCTGCTGTAGTTTATTGCGTAATTTTGAATCACATGACAAGACGACTTGTCCTGGTTTGGATTTTTGGTTGCTGGTTTCAAAGATTACAGCCCCATGTTGGTTTTGCAATGGTCGAAACGGTACTTTCGGTGTGCGATGAACTGCGAACGTGACAAGAGTAGCGTAGTTAGAGAATCACCCCAAATTTGCTGGTGCAAAGTAGCAGCGAGGACGAAAGAGCCAAGTTAATGGAAACGTAGAGCCGAAAAGAAAACGACTGTGACTGGAGAACCAGCCCTTACTGTATAACCCCTGTTGGGTTGGAAATTTGAATCAAGAGAATATGTAAATTAAGAGCAGGAAAAATTAATTCAATTTTTTTAATATCATTTCTCTAATTTTTTATAATCAAACTCATTAAAGTCTTTCCCCTTCATTTTCTTCCAACTAAATAGATCTTAAGAAAAGATGTTTAGCATTGTTGTTTTTCGCCCCCTTGACTGACCCCTTCCCTTTGGGCAGATGGGTTATTTCTTAAACTGGAGTAGACTTGGGGGGAGTTAGGCATCACGGTAACTGAAAGGCCTCAGCGGCTCAGCCAGACAAATACAAGTTGACGAACGTAATCCAAAAAAAAAAAAATGTAAATAACACAATTCTTGAGTTTTGTTAAAATTATAAATATTCAGTTTAGTCTAATTCTGTATTTTAACTGAAATGTTCTTCATTTAAAAAATATATGTTTAAAATGATAGAAATTATTATAATTCGAAAGGGTCAAACGTAAACTAAAGCAGGTGCATTTTGATTGAAATAAAATATTTTGAAAATAGAATAGAAGAATATTTTTTAAAAAAAATTGAAGATATCTGTATAAATTATTTAAAAAGAAATCACAAAGCATGGAACTTCAATGGAGAAAATGAAGAAAAAAAATACATCATGAATTCTTAACAAAGAAGTTTTTTGGCCCACAGGATCCCCCTATTTTTCGATGCAATATGAATCTCCTAATGATGAATTCATAGATTTTAGGGAGAATCGCACTTATGATCCTCATAAGCGAAATGATTACACTGTAAGCCTTTTTAATTTTGAAATAATTGTCTAGGCCAAGGCCCTCTCTGCAAATAAGATTTTCACCAAAAAGACAAAAATGCCACTAAAACAATTATATGTTCATATATTTACTATCAGAAGTTCATTAATTCATAAATATAGATTCACATATTTGTTAATTGTGAACTTAAACTTATGAATGTGTGATCATATAGTTGTAAATATGTAAAATTGTAGTTGTGAATATGTGAATTTGTAATTGTGAATATGTGAATTTGTTGTTATGAATGTGGGAATTTCCACTTACGAATGAGTGGATGTCTGAACATGCGAACATTTATTTAAAAATCAGGAGTATTTTCGTCTTTTCAATAAAAATTTTATTTGCAAAGAGCGCGGGTCTGGATAATTATTTCATAAGTGAAAGGCCTTGCAATGTATTTATTTCACTTCTAAGTCTAAATGCGATTTTCCCGACATTTTACAGTTTGATGCTCCACCAAACTTGACATAGAGATGGCAGGCAACATCATCAGTCATATCCTTATTTCATGGAATCGAGTAGCACATAACTTTACTCAAACCATATGCCTCTGAGGCCATTTTGCCTTTTTCTTTTTATTATGTTATTTCAAACGCTTTTCCAAAATTTTAAACAGGTTCATCTTTCTGTACCCCAGACAGTGTAACAGATACAAACTAAAAAACAAACTCTGGATCATTTCTGAAGACTAGGGTTTTTGTCAATGGCAGTACTGACTTTAGAGCACGCAACATTTGAGTTTTTTTTGTTTTTTTATGAACAATAACATGACGAGACGAAGATAAAGAATATAATTTAAGGTGAAAACTCTAATAATTTAAATTAGATATTATATTATAGGTGAATTAGGTAAGCCTACATTCACAAGCCCAGTCTGGAAAAATCAGATTCTGTTATTGACAAACAAGAAAAACTTCGAGGGAACTAGTGCTACAAGCATATATGTAAAGCTTAAAACTTGGATGAAAAATCATTGTGTGACTTCTGAAAGAATAAAAAATTTCCCTGTAGAAATAATTATATGTTTAAACATATATCAATTTGACCCAATCTCAGATTACTCAATAATAGCAACCAAATCTCAATTTCATTCTAATTTGATCATTCTTTTGGGTACAATGGATGTCAATTATTGAATACATCCCCAAAAAAAATCTTTTGTCTTCCAACCTCTTTAATACGTGGTTGAGCATAACTGCTCCTCAAGTTTTTGCTTAAGTTATAGAAATTAAGCATAAGTTCACATGCATATATGTAACAGACAAAATCACACATATATAATAACAGCATTGCATAGTCACAAGTTTGACAATTGCAAGTCTCGTCAGACAGATTGACACGAAAATCTTTATACCGTCTCACCATTCACCAAACCAGAAAAAGGATCATCAACCTACTTTTTCCCTATCAGATGCGTGGAATTGAAACAATTAAACTAAAACCCTTGATCCTCAAACCCTTGATCCTCACTTACGACCAATGAGTAAACCAGTTTGTTCAGCCAATATATCCAATCTCAGATGTCCTCGTCTCTAGGATAATTTACCTTGTTTTGAACGAAACTGTGCGAAGGAGGAGAAGTAAAACAGGGATAAGAAAAGGATAGAGTAATAGATAGCCTACTCTCGGCTGTATATCCATGTCTTATCTCTTTTGTTACTGTTATGCAATCTTCATTACAGCTTCGTAAGCTTTAACAAGTGCATACATAGTAAAATACCGTCCACAATAATTACAATCATCACTTTTCACAATTTCTCTTGGATTGATCAGCCACGTTTAGGTATATTCTTGTTAGATTAGCTCAACAATACCATGACCGGAGAGAACTATATATTAATTAAAGAGATCCAAGAACTGAAGCCTTGTTGTCATAACGTTGCTATATTCACCAACCCACTCTCATGTTTCCTGACATCTCAACCTCCATCCGTCCTCAAACTTAAATTCACTCGAGAATTCGTCTTTTCTTGCTCATCATAATCCGCTCTCAGTCTTCTTCTCATGGCTACCCTGCAGTCTCTAGCATCTCTCCTTCTAGTGTCCCTAATAATAGCAATTCTTTTTATTGATCCAACATGTTCAACATCCAGAAAAGTTCTGAAGCAGCATCAGACAGTCCGGGTCTCCCTCCACCACATCGATTCAGGGAAGAACTTGACCAAGTTCGAGCTTGTCCAGAAAGGAGTCAAACGTGGCAACCAGAGATTGCAGAAGTTAAAAGCAATGGTTTTGGCAGCTTCATCCCCTGATTCACAACTAGAAACTCCAATTCATGCTGGAAATGGTGAGTATTTGATGCAGTTATCAATAGGTACACCCCCAGAAGCCTTCCCTGCAGTTTTGGACACAGGCAGCGATCTCGTATGGACACAATGCAAGCCTTGCTCACAATGTTACAAGCAGCCCACACCCATCTTTGATCCCGCCAAGTCATCTTCTTACTCTAAGGTCTCCTGTGACAGCAAACTCTGTAGTTCGCTACCTTCCTCTACTTGCAGTGATGGTTGCCAATATATTTACACATACGGTGACTATTCCATGACACAAGGTGTTTTAGCCTCTGAGACTTTCACATTTGGTGACTCTGGTAATCAAGTTTCAGTTCACAATATCGGGTTTGGTTGCGGAGAAGACAATGAAGGAGATGGGTTCGAGCAGGCTTCAGGCCTGGTAGGGCTGGGACGTGGGCCCTTGTCTTTGGTTTCCCAGTTAAAGCAACCAAGGTTCTCGTATTGTTTGACTTCCATGGATGATGACTCCAAAACCAGTACTCTATTTCTGGGGTCGTTGGCAAGTGTGAATGCAACACAAAAGGCACTGACTGTACCGTTGATGACGAACCCATCACAGCCATCTTTTTACTACCTTCCTCTTGAAGGCATTACCGTGGGAGACACTCGATTGTCCATCGAGAAAACAACTTTTGAGATGGGAGATGATGGAAGTGGAGGGGTAATCATAGACTCTGGCACTACCATCACTTACATCGAAGAGAGTGCTTTCAACGCACTCAAGAAAGAGTTTACTTCTCAGATGAGTCTTTCGGTGGACAAATCAGGATCCGCTGGGCTGGACCTTTGTTTCTCCTTACCGTCCGGGGCAAACCAAGTGGAAGTTCCAAAGCTAATATTCCATTTCAGAGGTGCAGATTTGGAGCTGCCTTCTGAGAATTACATGATTGCAGATTCGGATATGGGATTGGCGTGTTTGGCCATGGGAGCTTCTAGCGGAATGTCCATATTCGGTAACGTTCAGCAGCAGAACATACTGGTGAATCATGATCTCGATAAGAAAACCATTTCGTTTGTACCCACACAATGTGATCAGTTGTGAGACACATGGGTGTCTTCATTGCTGTACTGTTATGGTTCCTCGATCATGTCTAGCAGACATTGTCATTTCACTGAGTTATCAACTTTTTTATTATTTTCATTGTTGGTGTTAATAATTGATTGCATGAGACATGATTCATCTGTGACTTGAAAGCCAAGGATGCTTTATTTTTAGATAGGTTGATGATTCAAATCTTGTACTACGTCTATATATGTGTCTATAACTGTTACAGTGTTGCTTGTTGGAAAACGGTTGCTCAACGTCTCTCACCAACCCTTGGGTTTGCTTTTCTAAGCAAATGAAGAAGAAAGGTCTAAGCTTGATTGCATGAGTGTTTTATTTTCCCTCCTTCAGTTATCTTTCAAGTCTTTTCTGCTCCCCAAGAAGCAGGCCCATGTTCCCGAGGCTCGTAAAGGTTATGGGCCCGATTTATACAGCGACTATAACATGGAGATGGAAATAAAAAAGTCTGTTTTTGGAGTGTTGGTTGCGTGTGTCTGAGAAAAGTCAAATTCTTACACGATGCAATAATAACAAAAATCTATTTTGATATTAAAAAAAAATCTATTTTGATGAATTGATCACGTGGCCATACATATTCATGTTTCAATTGTCGCGGGCGTCTCTTTTGAACGGTGAACGTATGGGCGGTGTCTAGCTCCTACCCTACCATTCATCATCCCCCCGTCCCGATACACTAGTGAGGGAGAATTAACATTTGTGTGTTTTCTTATGTAATGATTCTCTTTCTACATTCTCTGTATGCCTTTTTCTCTACGTGATTTCTATCATCCATACACCACTCACTTGATTTTACGGTTCTTGCTTTGCTGTATATGAGGATTAATTAAGTGAAATGCATAATTTGTTTTGTAAGGGATGTTTTGTTGCATTGAAGAAATTCCTTTGAGGATTAATTAATTAAATAAAACGCAATACCTATCAACAATAAAACTTTCTCATTGTCGCTTTCTTGCACAACCTGAGGCCACAATTGTGTGTCTAGAAGGAGATAAATGTTGCTGTTCCATGTCGGAGGAGGAGATGGGTGTAGTCGTTCCTTGTTGAAGAATGAGATTAATGTTTCTTTAATCATTGTTTTCGACGCCTCTCACCAACCACAAGCCAAGATTGAGTTTTAGGAGATGGATGCGACCGTTTTGTATTGGAGATGATGATGATGGACGCGGTTCTATAATCGCTAGTCTATCTTGGAACTCTTGGTGTTGGCATCACTCATCTTCATCACAGACAGGAATGAAACGCATTAGAAGTTAAACTTTTGCCTTATCAAAACAAGAACCATTGGATCAAGTAAGTAGTGGGTGAACGGCAAATATCAGATGAAAAAAGAGGCACGGAGAGAATGAAGAGAGAATATCTGGATCCGTTTGTTGTCTGCTAAACTCTCATTATAAATGATTTATTATATTATAATTTGGACAACAAAATTAACTAATTTTGGAGTTAGTGATAAATATTTTATCTAACTCTATTTGTAAGTCACTTTAAACATTTTTATTGAAGTTAAGGGAAACATTAAACCTCATTAACTTTATTTAAAAGTTTAATAAATTTTTAACTTCATCTTTATTAAATATAATTGTTTTAAAATAAAATACTTTAATATTTAATAAAAGCAAAATGATAAAAATGAACATAATTATTATTAAAATATTTTATAAATAAAATTAAAATAAATATTTTATTTACATTATAAATATAAAAAGAGAAGTAAAAAAAAAAATATGGCGACATATCATTAGCATGCGTAGTGATACAAGGAGAGGAGGATTTGATCACTTCTCCGCCGACCTGCTCGCTCCGCCGACCTTCTCGCTCCGCCATCCACCTGGACTCCCTTAAATTACGACCCGTTCCAATCAACAGTTTTCCATTCAATTCTTTTGTCTTCATCACTCGTATATATATATTCTTTCAAATGAAAATACATCACGTCATTTTATGATTCATCAAATGAAAATATAATATTTAAATAATATTAAATATAAATTGATTATGATATTAATGGTAAAAAAAAAGATAAGAAATTAAATAAATATTTTATTATAAAAATAAAATCATTAAAGAGAATGACACATAAAATTTTATTTAATTTTTTATGAAAAATAAGATTTTATTAATTGAATTAATATAATTTTATTAAATGCTAAGAATTTCTCCTCTTAAACATATTTATTTATGTAAATAAATCTTTCTTTACTGTGTGATTAATAACCGCGGCAGACACGCAGCGACAGTGATGGAGACGAAGCGGCCGGACAACCGTACAAACTTAGACGCGTACAACGCTGCATAAACGGAATATTTTGTGGTGAAGCGTTGTGGTTTGGATTTTCGCGAATCAAGGATTAATTAATTGTATCTTCATCTTGATTCACTTTTGCAAGAAAATGGAGAGTCTAGAAGGTGCTGACTCGGACTCCCCGCCGCTCCTCCTTCATTAATTATGTGTTCTGTGCTTATCGCGGTCATCATCCAATTTGTCGGATTATAATTGTGATTGTAATTTACTCCTATTTAATTAATTAATTAATACCTGGAACCCGTCACCACTCATGAATTTTCCAATCCGAAAAGGCTAATCATATTGAAGATGTATGCTGTACGCACAGGAACGGATTGGCGTCTATGACTGTACGAAGGATTAGATGGAACTCCAAAATTTAATTTTTTTATGAAAAGAATTAGATTAAATAACTCAATAATTCTATTTGGTTCAATAATAACCTGACAATTAATAAGATTGGGTTTGATTTTTAAAATTAAAAGAGTAATTTTATTAGTCCACACTCATTTACTTTGTTTTTCTATGAGAGTCAATAATTTATTTTAACCTAATAAAATCAATTAAAATAATAAAAATACTTATAATCATAATAAATTTATTATGATTTACAACAACAAGAAAAAAAAATATTTTAATTACAATTCAAGCAATCCAAATTATTAAATTATTAATTTGAGTGTGCGATCGTTCGAGAAATCAGACTTATTAAATTATTAATAGTCTTAACTTAGTATTATAAATAATTAATAAATTAATTATAATTATATTAAATAAATTTAATAGGATTAGAATGGATTAAATAGTCTAAATGCTTAGTCTTCTGTCCAGTCTAACCTTAAAAAATAATATGATTTTTTTAATCTTTTCAATTTTAAAAAACTAATTTTTAACAAGACTAGATAAAATCAGGCTTTTGGGGGTCAGACTAAGTCAAAGAGGACTAGAGGACTGAAGCCTTATTTATTAGTATATAGGTAATATTTTATGATTTATAATTAATAGTAAAACTAAGCTAACAATAAGGAATGGACCTCTTAATTTTTGCCTGCCTATTTTTGAGCCAGAAAGGTGACGGTGAAAAAAACTTGGGACCGTGTCATGGAATATCTCAAACACAAATAAACTCGGTCGAGAGCCCAGCATTAAAAAAAAAAACCAAAATGTTCTTGAAACAAAATATTTTAAATGGAGTGGAACAATATTCAAATTTAACTTATTCAGATAATTTTGAGGAGAAAAAAACGCACAGAGAAAGATAGAGATTAGACTCGGGACCGTTGTTTGGTGTTGACCAGTCAAAACATGGAAGTCACTGTAGACGGGGCAGTGCACGCTCGTCCATCCATTTTATTCTCTCTTTTTCATTCTTATATTCCATATCTGTCCCCGTCCACTCCCACCAAGCCGTCCACTCCCAAAAAAAAAAAAAGACCTATTTCATTTTCTTTTAACTTATGAAATAAAATTATGAAATGTAAAATAAAATGAAAGGAAAAGGATGATATTTACTCGTATAAAATATAAATGTAATTCTCAAAATTTGCAGGTGTCGGGCACTCGTTTTATTTTATTTTCATCGTTTTATTAATTGTGCATGGAGCCCAATCATTAACTACAGAAAGTTAAACAAAAAAAAAAAAAAAAGAGGAGGGTGTCACCGTCCTGCCGGGTCTGGTATTATATAACCAACCAATCCTTCGCCTCACCAGCAGAATCGGAATCTCTCTCCCCGTCGGATTCAGTTCTGCCAGTAAAACAGAAGATGAAGGTGAAGAAAGGTTGGCTTGCTGTTCAGGTGGGTCTGGCCGACGAAGATGGCATTCCCCAGAGATTCGTCATCCCTATTTCTTATCTTTATCATCCTCTCGTCGTCCGCCTTCTCGACAGGGCTCACGAGGTCTACGGCTACCACACCGACGGCCCCCTCAGGCTTCCCTGCTCCATCGACGACTTCCTCCATCTCCGGTGGCGGATCGAGAAAGAGTCCGCTCCAACCCACCGCCACTTCCATCACCACCACCATCACAACCACCACCACCACCTCTCCCACGCTTTGTCTTTCCACTCTTGTTAATCCCTCCTTCTTCCTTCTTCTTGTTATTTGTTAATAATTAACCAGGAAAAGAGCGACTTTTTTTAAGGGATGATGCTCTGTACTTTAGGAAGGCTGCATTAGAGCCGTGATTGATGCTCTCTGCTTCCAAAACCAATTTGCAACAAGCAGAACAAGTGTCTGTTTAGCGTGTTAGTTCGTGTATTCTGTCCGCTATGGAATGGTCTAATCCAATTTGGAAATTGAATCTGCAATGTATAAATTAATGGTTAGAGAATGAGACTGAGTGCGTTGAGTTACAAGCGTGTATGGAAAGTCGATCGGAGTATTGGGATCGGAGGGATTCAAGAATCAAGAGCGTAACGCAATTTAAAGTTCAATTTAATTGCATCCCATCGTTAAGGGTTTGCTCATTATCCAAACACGCCTCCACGTACTGTTCCTTTTTCACTTTTTCCGAAAATTTTATACATCTTCATGTATCGTGCCTGTGCCACGGCTCTTTATTCCCCCGAAAGACACAGACAATGACTCGCCAAATTCATCAGATTTTATCTACAGTTTTTGACAATTTTGATGTCTTTTTAAATTAATACGATCTGTTTCCCTTCCTCTTTTTCTTTTTCTTTTTCATTGTTCAACTAAAATTATATTGATTTTATGTCAGAGGAGTGGGAAATTTTATTTCTGAGATTGTCCTAATTAGAAACTGATAATTATTAGTGTATATATATACATATATATTTTTACACAATTGAAATTGAATATTCGCTCTGGCAAGCTTTCTCTTTCTCTAACTACACAAAAGGTAGTGCAAGGTTATGAACGCGAGGGATTGGGTGTCTATTATTCAATCCGATATATGCCATTACATGCAGAGAAGAAGTTAGATCAATGTACTGATTTAATTCTAATCTATATTTATATGCATGCGTTGACGGCGAAGGAGGAAAAAAAACCTTCGTTTTCCCTGTAGTAACTGAACAACCGTAAGATTTTCTGTGCTTCTTTAACTTCAAAATCAAGAAAACAAGTTTGTGATCCCACTTCCATTCCAACCCCCCCCCCCCAACTCTTTTCTCCCCCGGGGTATCACAATTTAGTTTAGATGCATAAAAGCTTACTGCTATCTAAACAGCGAGTGCTTTCAACACGGTGCTGCAATGTCAAGTACAAAGTTTTGGGCTCGGCCCATTGGATATCAAGGGGACCTGTGATGTGATTTTGGGCTAGGCCCGAAATGTCAGCAGCAGCATTGCTTTGAATATAATCCGGAGCAAAGGAGCTTGCATAATTCCGCACCCAAGTTTGTCTGTCTGTTTATCATCGTGATCATCACCGAGCAAACCCAAGAATCCGTACTTTGGGTTACAAGATCTAAAACATATCACGATTTATTATTTAAAATATATACATCATGATTACCAAATATACACAAGCACAGGCAACGTATCTTGTAATCATTGTATAATGATTACCACAATATCAGAGTCAACGGATCCCTTCTGTCCCTCCCTGTTACAGCACATCCTCTTAAACAAAATGTTGGTACTTAATACAACGCACTTGATAGGTTTAAATATGTGCTCACATGGGTCATTTTTTATTATATATTAATTATTAAATTTAATTTTATTTAATGTTGAATTTTTCACATCTTCTCATGTCCACTCACAATTAGACAACTTAACAATCTTCTTTTTAAGTGAGTTCACAAACTCTCTATATCAAAAATGCCCCAAGCATTAAGGAAGTCTTAGGCAAAACTAGGCTCTGATATTACTTGTGAGGAATGGGGAGCGACCACTCAGGAATAGGTGGAAGAGGAGAGACGGGCAAAAGCAACGGAAAGATGTCACATCTTAGTTAAAAATCTTAAAACTTAAATTTATGGGTCATTTCTCTTTATATATATTAGTTATTAAATTTAATTTTATTCAATGTGAGACTTTTTATGTTGTTTTATGCCTACTTATACTTGAATAACCTAACAATATATTTTTTTCAACATTACTTCAATTTAAATTTATTAAATACAGGAGATAATATAATGCAAGTTTAAATTTCTTTCATTTAAATAAAAAATAAAATTGGAAATGTATTGTTTAGACAAAGTTGATAGTTTAACCACTTTACATTGATTCTGGTGGGGTAATTAGAGGGTGTTTTGTAAGAGAGATCAGGGAATATGTTCATCTCTAAACCGGAACGAAGCGGCAGCCTTTATATTAGTTGGATCTAAATGCGTGGTGTTGGTATCATTTTATGCGACAAACGAAAAAGACAATAAAGCAGGTTTATTAATTGAAGCGGTCTAGAACATCTTTGGATTCCCGCAAATAATGGGAATGGGGGAGGGAATGGCCCACCTTTTATATATCGGATTAACAAACTAGATAATGGTTTTAGTCGTGAAATTGTTTAGTTGTTTAAAAAAAGAATATCAAAGTAAATAACATTTTAATGAAAAAAATGAATGCTTTGTTTAGTTAAAAAGTTGTGCACTTTGGTGGAACGGTGGAATTCGGTCCAAAAGGAATGTAAATGGGCAAAAAAAACAGAACATGATGAGGGTAAAATGTGTTTAGGGGTGCAAAGAGTACAAATCAGTTCGTTACATAATATTTTCAAGCAAACCCATAAAATAAAAGGGTGAGTTACATATTATCAGAGACAGGTTAATAAATGGATATATATCTTGGCGCTTTGCTTTTGCTCGGCTCCCGCTCACGCTAGCATGTCTCCTTTCTACCTCCCTGCTCCCTCATCAAATCTTTACGATGGTTTTTGAATAAATGCCTTAATAACGTTGGAGTATAATTCATTCTACTCATCTATACACTCCCTCTGTTCTATATTACAAGGGTATTTTTTAAAAAATTATTGTGTTAAAAATTATTCCTTCTAATCTTATTTATAAATTACTCCTGATATGTTTCGTTAGAACTAAAAACAACTTTACCCCCTCCGTTCTTATACATGAGATATTTTTAATTAAATTACGCAAACTAATAAAAGTTAGTTATTTAATTAAAAATACAGCAAGATTTCAATTTTGTCCTTAATTATTATAAATAAATAAAAAATAAATATATTTTTCAAAGTAAATTCATAAAAACACTTATATTTTTTTCTTCCCAATTTAATAAGCGTATAATGGTCCATTCATTAAAAAATGTGCTAACAATTTCTTATATTCAGGACAAAAAAAGTTTTAAAAGACTTCTTATATATAGAAATGGAGGGTTTATATTTCATTGACTTTGTTCTAAATTTACTAAATTTTTACCTCTTCCCCTTAAGAATATAGAAAATACTAATATATCTTATAAATACAATCAAAATTAATTTTTTTCATTTGCCCTGTAAGTAGGACCAAACCAAAGTATAAGATATTTTGGACTTCTCAAATTGTAATTAATAAAGTTTTTTTCAAAAGTGCCTTGGTTATTAGGGGTGTAACTAACAAGCTTTACAAATTGAAACTCCTTATTACTTCATTTAGAAGATATAATTTGATTAAAATGACATGTTATATTGGATGGAGGAGTGTACTACTATCATAGTAATTTTTTTTTGGGGTGATAATTAACTACCACTATTAGTAGGGGGTGGACTTGTGTATATTTGATGGCAGACAATTGCCCCCTTCAATTTTATGATGTTTCATGTAATTATGAATTGGGGGTTTAATTTGCCCCTATTGATATATTAGTTTTGAACCAACTAATTGAAAAGAAGAACGAGAGAAGAGGAAGAAAAAGAGAGAGATGACAGTCACCTATGATCATGTGAGGGCCTGTAATGCAGAATAGGTCAGAGAGATAATTAAGATTTAAAATATAGATCTAAACTTTAGATTAAAACTATGGGGAGGAGTGAATTTGACAAAATTTCCAATAATGTGTGGTGAGAGATGATTAAGAATTCACAATGATTTAATTATCATGAATTATTATTTTTTATTGAAAATTTTATTTCAAACCCTATCAGAATATATGGCTTTTTCTAGAAGCTTGTTTAGTCCAAAATATAATGCATTAGATCCTTTTTATAATTATTTTTCAAACTATACATTTACTTCATTTATTACTCATTTTAAAAAGATGGTGCATTGTAATTTCAATTGCTATTATTAAGATGTTTTTATAGGTTATCTAATGATGGTATGTTTGAAAGAATGTCAAATTTTTAAGAGATCAAGATTTCATCTAATATTTTTTTAGAATCACAAAGTAGTTATCAATGCATTATATTATGGTCTAAGAGGAATATGTTTGCACGTCATTAGTGGATTCATTTATTTTTATTATTTTATTTTTTCTAAACTTTTGCTAAAATCATTTAGATAATATATATATCTCTCTGTCTCTATATATAAGAGGTCATCTAAAACTTTTTTTATCCCTAAATATAAGAGATTATTAGTAATTTTTTAATAAACAGACCATTATATCCTTATCAAATTAGAAAGACAAAAAAGACAAGTACTTTCATCAATTTAATTTAAAAAAATAGATTTATTTTTTATTTACAATAATTAGGAGCAAAATTGTAATATTGATGTGCTTTTAATTAGATAACCAACTTCTATTAATTTGTGTGATTGATTAAAAATATCTTATATATATATATAGATGGCTGGAGTAAGTGATAAAGATATCATTATCATCATCATTATTTTTCCAACAAGGTATCATTATTATTTAAATAAGTGATTGAGATTCAACAACTCCTGCATGTGTAAAAAAGCCTACTCTTTTCATTTAAAAATGTAAAGTATTTTTTGAGAGATTGAATATTAAAAAATATTAAATATTTTTAGTCTATCAAGGCACAATCATTGTCTTTTTTTTTTAAATACTCCTATTAAATAAATCACTTTATATTTATTTTAGGGTAAAACAACCTATTAAATAGTAGTAAATATAAAATATATAACTAGTTAGAAGCAAGTAACTATGTCATTAGGAGATAAAATTTGATTAAAAATGAATTATATTTTTTAATGAGAGAGAGTATTTCATATGGTTTTATCCACTACTTTAAGCACGCAAGGCCAAAAAAAAAATCTGCCCTCACTAGCCCTAGGTCCCAGCTAATTCTGCATTGATTACTATTATATATATTTTGATCTTATTTATAAGTTACTTTTAATATATTTTATCAAAATCAAAGAAAAATTTAAACTTAATTAATTTTATCTTAAAATTTAATAAGTTTTCATCTTTACCTTTAATAAGGATAAAAAGAATCAATTTTGTTTAAAATTTTTAATGTTAAAAAAAGGTAAAGATAGATATAATAAAATATGAAGTGTCCTTTATATGGTACCAAAATTAATCCTCTATTTGCCCTTATAAATAAAATTGGAGAAGTATATCATATTATGCTAGTTTTCAGCATATCATTAATTACTAAAAATTATATACTCCCTCTTAGGGGTGAGCAAAACCAAATTAAAATAAAAAATTAAATTAAATTAAATCGAATTTTATCTATTTGATTTGGTCTATTCAGTTTTTCAATTCAATTCAGTTTTTTTTAATGAAAATTTTGGTTGATCGGTTTGATTCGGCCTGAGAATTCAAGAATCAAATAAACTGAACTGATTAAATTATCTATATTTTTCCTTTCATATTTTTAAAAATGTGAATAAATTATCATCCAGGTAAGTAAGAAATATCTTTCTGCTACTTGCAGTAATAGTATTTTTTTGGTTTAATGGGATGTTCTAATTTTTTATTTCTATAATATAGTCTATAGTGCAATAATATCGAATCTTATTAATTTTCTCATAAATTATAGTATAAGATATTATTTTTTTTGTTGGGCCTTCAATATCAAGAGAAAAAAATTGGATAGAAGAATATATGAACTATTAAATTTCATAGACCCAAATTAAAGCCCATAAATTGAATAGACCTATCGAACTGAATCATTAAAATTCAGTTCATTTTTAATTCTGTCTGGTTATGTATTTCGATTTGATTCGATCCAAATTTTTTATATAATTCAGTCAATCGATTTTAGAGAAATTAAAACTGAATAAACTGATGCTCACCCCTACTCCCTCTATTGAAAAATATAAGATATTTTTAACTAAAATTATCCCCAATAAAGTAGTTACCTACTTTCAAATTAAATTAACATATCTTTTTATATTTATTTCTATAAATACCTTACAATGTTATTAATATGAGCCCTTTTAGAAAAAAAATAATGATTACGTTTTAAAAAATAAAAAATATTTTATATTTTTTAACATTAACTTTTAAAAAATATTTTATATTTTTAAACAAAAAAAATATGTGGGTTCATGTAAAAGTTATTTTTCCAATCAGTTGCCATTATCAAACAATTATCTTTCTCACCGCAACAATGAAAGTATCTGTCGGTATATAACGTTTTAATTGCTGATAAAGCAGTTGAGGAGAGTTGGTGTGAATGATTCTATTTCAATCAAAAACCCATCATGCTTGTCTTCAATTCCAAGCTGAGCTGTCAAAATCTGATCACCTTTCACGGGCGGGCGCATTAAACCACGGCCATTCCAAGAATGTCAAATTAAGTCTAAATCCAGCTACAATTTCTGCTATAAAAAATACTCACACACACACACACACACACTTACATGTATCTCAAACTACGATTCACAAGAGACTAATAATGCCCAAGAAAATCTCTCCGATGCGCTCTCATAGTTTCATAACACACACAGACACAGGGCAGAAAATGAGTAAGAAAAAAAGAGAAAAGAACGGAAAGTAGCATAATGAGCGTGTGATTGAGTAGGTGTGTTTTCAGCACAGTGCTAATATGGCGAGTGAAAAAGGCTAAAAATTATGAGGTAATGATGAAAGGAAGGCAATAAAGCAGAGGGGCCTGTGACTGTGAAGCGCAATTCAAATCCTCATTTTGTCTTGTTCTGTGTGTTTGACTGGCACGGCACAGCCAACTGGTGGTAGCAGGTCAGGGTTGGGTTGTTTCACCGGAGCAGCAGGTCATTCATTCGCTTGGGAAATCAAAGTCAAGAGACAAGTCTACGTGTAGCAAAATTTAAAATTTATATTTATATATTTATTTATATTTTTCTGTGTCGTACTATTACTTACTCAGGCCTTGTTTCCTGGGGGTTGGGTTTGGTGGTAATGGTGGGGTTAGTAACTTGCTTTGGATTTGTTAATCGTTTTTATCACAGACGCCATAGTGATTTGAGTGTCTTTATCTTCCTGTGTATGACAATCTCTGAAACCCTAGCTTGCTAGTCCCTATATATAAGAAACCCAAACGTGCTGGTTCTCGTTAAGGATATGAGATGAGAGCCAGGGGCGGATTCAGATGGTGCGTTTGGTGTGTTGAGGGGAATGTTGGCTGGCTCGAAGGCTTTTTGATCACCAAGAGGTTCTCTAATATATTTGGGAACTGCTAATTACAAAAGGCTTCGGACCAGGCTTCATTCCTCTCAAACCCACTGTAATTTTTAGCATCTGATCTCTCTCAAATTATAAACCGCTTGCTCGTCTTTCTCACAAGTCAAAAGGTACAGTTTTGATTACATGTTATCCGTTATATATATGCACACGGAAAGCTTGACAGTTTTGATTACATATTATCTGTTATATATATGCACACGGAAAGCTTGGCGTTTAGGACGAGAGGAATGTTGTCTGTTACGATATATTATCGTTGAGAGATTCAAATGTTTTCATACTCTCGAACCTAAAGAGACGATTCTCGAAGAGGCTTCATCCCCTCATCCATGTTTAGTTTGCCTTTCGCTTCGTTATACTTTCAGTTTGAATATCATTTGGATCTGAATCTGGCAAGCAGCCTTTGTCTGTTCCACTATTTTTAGATTTGCATCTTCTGGTGTCAGTGTTACAGCACGTCTATTAATTGGCTCTTTAATTTAAGGTATGCTCTTCTCTCGAACTTTTAGATAGGTTTGCTTGTGTTTTTCGTACGGTCAAAACGGTTTGTGATTTCGGCATGTAAAGTTACATAAGACGGGAAAAGAAAAACTCATCAGATTGTATGTAATTAGGTTATGATCTGCTGCGATTATGTCTCTCCTAGCTCTTGTATTCCGTCGCTCCAGATCAAGTTAACCTCTACATGCACAATACGATCAGTAACAAAACTGACGTCATTTGTTGATTTTATCACAACTAGATCAACATATTTGATTAAAACTGACAGGCCATTGATCACATCCTTGAAAATGATTACTCGAACAAAAGACTGATGTTGAGAACGTGTCTATGAGTGAAATCTATCAAATGTCAAATTCTAAGTACATTTTTATAATCTGCTTTCTCAGCCCTGTCTGGCTCCCACAGCTAGTTCTTTTTCTAGGGCTTCAAAACAACACGCCCCTCTGTTCGATCTTCTGTTCTGTAGTCTTTTCACTAAACCCCCTTCACGCTGGTAAAAACCATGGGAATCGAGCCTCGCAACTCGCCCCAATCCTTCTTTTTTGTTGAGAGGGAATAACAGTTAAGTTTTAAAACAAAAAATTAATACTCCCTTCCTTAAAAAAAAAATAAATATTTTTTTGAGAAGTTAAATGTTAAAAAATATAAAGTATTTTTAATCTTTTGAGATATAATTATTATTTTTTTCAAAACTACCCTTATTAATAATAATTTTATATTTATTATAGGGTATTTAATAGGGGTAAATATAAAGATATAGGATTAATTAAAAAATAAGTAATTACTTTATTACGGGGTGAGATTCGATTAAAAATGTCTTATATTTTTAACTGAAAGAGTGTAAGTTAAGTTCTCGATAAATTTTTTAATTAAATAAATTATAAATATTAATTCAAACAGAAATTTTTGTTATAATTTAAAAATTATATTTGATATTTAAATATTTATTTATAAGTGAAATTCTTGAATTTGTAATAATTTAAATTAATATTTTAACTTACTTTTTAAAAAATTTTATTAAAAATTTACCTGGTATTAATTAATTATTCTGATACCCAACTATCATTTTTCAAAAAAAAAAAATAACATCAGTTTCGTGTAATTCGAATGTACTACTTGACTTGATATTGGCAGTAATAACCACTCGCCTCCAGATCCCAGTGGAGTCAATGGGCTTTCCCTCGTAAATAATGGTGCTTTAATAATTAATAATATCACGTCGTAAGTTTCCGTGGAAGAATATTTATACTTGAAAATAATCAACCTCAAAATATGAATATGATGCCAGCTACAAAGAGATCAATGGAAACGTAACTGTAGAATAATTAATGTGGGTTTTGTTGTGTAGTGAGAGGAGAGTCAGAAATTGAAGACAGGGGTTGCGCAGCAGAGGCATCAACGCAAGAGTGAATGAAAGAATGGATGGGGATGCCGACATGTGCTGCAACACTTAACGAGAAGTTAAACAGTTGTGTGTACAGTACACCAGAAAGTAGCTACGCATTCTCTCTCACTCTCTCCTTCTCTCTCTCTCACTTGCAATATAATGTAACACATACTAGTCCATGAGGAGCAGGCAAGCAGCAGCCAGCAGCTTTCCATGAAGATGAGTGACGACCCAGAAATCTGCATGCACGAGCTGATGTAAAACTAGACCTAGGAATAATTAGGGCAACAAAGCGAGAAAAAGGGTGTGCTTTAGTGTAACAATAAGCAATGTATTTAAGGGACTTTCGAAGTCGTTGAATTAAAATTCAGATAAGTGAAGAAAAGTTAACATGTATTTTCCGTTGTATCCGGAAAAAACAAAACAAAAGTTAACATCTGAATTAGAGAGATATAAATATAATAATTAAATGAGGATTCTCTGTCTGACGGGGTCTTCGGGAAATGGAACGGAGTGAACAAGTAAGATGAGCACAGCACCTTGCTTCTCGGGGATCGCTTCGTTACGATTTTCAAACATCGTGTCACACTCTCTCCTTCCACGGGATTTCAGTCCAATCTTGAATTTTTGTCTGTTCATCTTTTGAAGGATTTACGTGCCTGTGATAACAAAATAGGATGTAATATTTATGATTCATGAGTTTTGAGTCAATCATGATTCATGAGGTAGGTGAAAGAGCCCAGGATGATTCTGCTTTATCCGCTAGCATGGCAATCTTGTCCGATTAATTATATAATATATAATATTTCTCATCTTTTCATGGCTTGTTATTTCAAATCTGTATAGTGCAGTATGCCATAAAACATATCATTTATACAATATTATGTACTGTATCATTGACTCTGCTCTTGCTCCCTCGTCAATCTATCTCTTCAACTTCGGGTGGGACAAATTAAAATTCGTAAAAGTGGGATGGGATGATAGCTCATAATATTTCCATGATCCATAGCAGAATGCTAGGGTGTTTAAGAAATTATCCTCTTGTTAGTGTGTCTCAAGGATACCCTTATCAGTATATACTAGCTAGCCTCGTAACAGGATAGCTAGTTAGGATTTAAATCCCTTACAGCCCTTGAAAATGGAGTTTGAGATAAATTACCTTTTAATTTTTATGACTTAAATTTTATATAATATTTATGAACATTAATACACATTTTTTTAAAGATAAAAATACGATGCAATTTAAATTGAAGTTTCCCAGTCTGATCGTGCAGCGGGAACCTCATATATATATATATATATTAAAAAAGGCGAGTCATGATTTTTCAATGGTGTACCTCAACAGGCCCAGTCTGGTGAAAAGTGTACTGTGAGTCACCAGGGAAACAAATCACCTTTATTGTTGACCGTCTCATCATGAATTTATTATGTGAATTGCTTTTCCACTATCACCGATGAAGAATTTCTTTTTTTTTTTTTTGAGCCAACACCGATGAAGAATTTCGAAAGGAATTTTTTTGACCAACAATTTGTGAAGGAATTGAACTCGTTATTTTATTATACATAAATACAATCAAAGGACATGGCAGGTGAGCTTTTTAGTTGCAAATTTTTTTGAAATAAAACGAGGGGCTTACTTAGCAATTAACACTGTGTTACATTGGACTACTTAGCATGTTCAGGTGAGCAAAATGAAACATTCAAATGGTTCACAAAGTGTTGAGAGATCGATGCATGTGGACAGTCCGATAGATGGATGCAGGAAAGTAAACAGAGAGATTGCTTGAAATATAAGGAGAGGTTGTGTCTGTCTTCTCAATTCAGTTCATGTCGCAATGTAAAGCTATGCATTTGCATCAATCTGTGTGGAGCTGGAGTCCATTTGAATGCCTCCAAATCCAATCCAATCAATCCCATCTGTATTTTTCTATTTACTGTTAGTTACTCTTTTTGTCTAACGTTCAACACTGTCCTTTTCATACCACACCCATTTCGTCTCTCTCTCTCTCTCTCTCTCACAATGACACAGGTTTTGGGGGGAAAAGGATATCTTGATTATCTTAACGATGGCAACAGTTGACATTTGAAAGCACAGTATTACGTACTACAAAAAGACGGTCAAAACAGAAAACGTGGGCACTGGGAGGGTCACTGGCTCTCGGAAGTTGTTGCATAAATTAAAAATCCATTTCTCAAATGATGCTGTGCTCTTTGCCACATATGCTTCCTTGCTTTTCTTTTTCAAGTCTCTTTATATGGCACAGTGTATTGCAGTTACGCTTTTGCTTTGCATCTCACAATCTAACTGGAATTATCATTCTAGATAATAGTAACCATAGCAGTCCTTTGCGTGCTTTAAGGACAAAGTCTAAAATGGGTTTGGTTCCTTCAGACGTGAGTCCAATTTCAGAATTGAGTAGAATCAAGCACGTATGCACGTCTGATCGATGACGATAGTGAGAAAAAGTCACTAAGTGCACACATCCTTGGATTTCACTCATGACTCGAGTGTGTATAAATTACATTACTTTATTATTGATGAAAAAGAAGAAATTTCATTATAGGTGAAAAAGTACAAGGAGGCAACTAGCGCATACATGGTTGAAGTGTTCAAGGGTGGATATTGTTGTCATACACATAATAGATTCATATTTTGATTTGAAACCAAACGCTGACTCATGGGTGTGTGCGTGCGTGCGTGTGTAGACTTGGATTCCCTCCCCCATGTTTCTCCTTTTATCTTCACTTCTCTTATACTTAATTTTTAACCAATGAGATTTTATATTTTATAAAATTATTATTAAAATTAAAATGTTAAATAAAAATAAAATAAAAAATTAAATAATTAAAATTTAACCTGAATATATACATAGTTTAGAAAATTAAAGTAGGAGAAACAAACCCAGGGCCAGAAAAAATGGAGAGGGGATTTGAGTTTTTCGTAAAAATGCTACACTGGGCTGGGTTAGATACATATAAAAAATTACCAGCGTCACTTGCGAGTGTTTCCTTCGGCTCAATTTTTTGTATTGTGTCACGTGAGAATAGAGCAAATAAAACAAAATAAAAACGAATAACCCGGCGACAAACTACTCAGAAGCTTGAACGACAGGAAAAATTGGATTCGATTTCCATGACTTTTTTCTTGTCGGATTCACTCCTCTGGTTAGCATGGTGGAAACTATCCCTATCTGGGCGTGAATAACAAAAAATGCTGATATGAAAGGAAAAAAAGGGAAATAAAAAATAATTAATAAAAACAGCTTGGAGAAATGGAGATACATTTATTACGAAGCATATGTATGACCCACAGAACTTAAGAAAGAGGGACGGCCCATGCCCTGAAGAAGAGCTTTCATCTGAGAGAGATGCATTTATAGTGTCATTGCATTGCAGTGAAACACACTGCATCCACCAACACGTCCCTCATAATTGCACCTGCATGCCCTCTCTAAGCTCTCATCTTCTGAAGTCCTTCTCAACATCAGTGTCTCAATACAGGGGCAAAAAAATCAACATGCCCATGTGCACAGATTCTCCACAGCTAGGCCAATTATGTAAAAGAAAGTTCATTAATCGTAATCCTACAGTGATAACTAATGTTCAGGCAAAAGCCGGAAAAAAAAAGGTGTTCATCTGACAAGGCCTAATTGAAGATGCGTGTGATATAATTAATCTGCATGCATACGTTTTTTTCCTATGATGTCCATGATCATAATATTAGTGTGTTAATAACACAAGTGTGTTTGGAACTTAATTCATTTATATCTTTGCGCATGATCATTGTTGGCCCCAACACAAGTTCATGACTTTTTAAAGACATTTAAAGAAACATTGCCAATTGTAATTGAGACTTTTGCAGCCAAAAGAAACAAGCAAATTACACTCCGAAACAAAGTCACTTGCTAAGTTGAAACGGTTCCTCTCTCAATTGCACTACACGGCATTTCAGATCAATTTCAGAGGCAACGTGTATATATAATTACATATCGCAAAAACCCAAAAAGATTTTGAACCAAAGATTACAAGTGATATGTGCATTTCACCAGGAGCAAAATTCTGAATCCAAAATCCCAGACCTAACATCCGCCAATTGCGAGTATTTCAAAATTTATACAGCCTGCATATATAGAACATTTTTGCAAAATTGACAACACATCACTGTTTGGAGCGCTTTAAGTAGACCATCACACCGATGCTTGTTAGAACAACTGCCCCTGCAATGATACCAAAGCGCAAAGACAATGGATTGACCCTCTCTCTAGTTGCCGTACTGGATTCTGGTGTCGTAATATTGGTTGAATCGGCATATTCCAAATGCAACCTTAAAGCCTGAAATACAAACATGTTTTATAGCAGAACATACATTTGTGCGCGCGTGTGTATGCGTCCCATCCGAATGAATAGATCCCAGGAAGCCAGAAGCACCTTGTTTAAAATTTATAAGAGAACTTGGCATCATTACCTTCATTCCCATGGATCTAGCATGGTTGACAGCAGCAGCAAGATCATTGTCATTTGCGAGAAAAATTTTATCACCTTCATCATCCTCATACTGAAAGGGAGGGAAGTCAGAAGGACAACTTATACATACGTAGCAAAAACAAAAAGGTATGAGAATCGAAGTAAGCATAAAACACACCAAAATTTGAGGACCTCCTCCATCTTTAACATGATCAATTCTTTGCATAACAGCAGATAAAAGATCATCAAAATGTTCCACGCCTAAAAAAAAAAAGGCAAGATAACAATATTTCTGAGATGATTTGAGCGAAAGTTCTTTCAATTTATAACAATTAAATTAGACGGGGTAGGGACCCAGAACAATATGACTGTAGCTACTAGCAACGGGGCTAGAATTCCTAAAATGCTTTCATCAAAATAATCGCTTACCACAGTTGAATCGATGTACATGACCCTTGAGATCCTCAAATTTAAAGGAAAACGAATTTTCAAAACCAACAGACGGATCTACAGACTTGGCAGTATCTCCCCCCTCTGAAGCCACTAGCCCAGAAAATTCACTGCAATAAAAAATCTTTAGGGCTGATTTAAAGAAAAAAACCATATCTTAAATCTGAGCATAATCTATGCCACCAGAGTACCTGTGAGAGTCAAAATCTTCCATTGACTCTGTAGAAAAAGCTGAGTCCCAAAACTTTTGCATAACTGTGTTTGAGATATCATTGGCCCCTCCCGTGCTACTTTCGACCTGCAAAATACACCATTTATTTATCTGACGCAGGCACCTATATGCTCTAATGCGAGTACTAGATATAAATGGAAATTATAACACCTCTGATTTTGTCTTAAAACACCTGATGAAGAAAAGAAGGTCATGTAGGTACAGGGAAAGGAATAAAAACAAGGTCCATTACTTCTACAAGACTAAAACCACAAAACGCTTGATGCTGACGAGAGATAAACATTCAAATTAACTATGATCAAAAGTGTGGCAATCTCCAACTGAAAATGGATACCCTCAATACTATCATCATTAAGAATATCTGACAACAATGTTCTCCAACATATGGATTCTTTTGACCACTAAAAATCTTCAATTAAATGTCCAGCAAGAGAACAATAGATGTAAAAATAATAAAAAAGGCGTCAGAATCTGGAATATCCCTTAAATTCTAAGGATACTCCCTCCAGCTAGGCAAAGAAATATTTATCTCAAATATGATGTTTACCATAGCAATCGCTGCTTGAGATATCTGTAAAACATCTACACAAGCAGCAATATTTCCATCTGCAAAACAAATTATATTCAATATCTACAATGTCAGGAACTACCTATGAAATTAAGAAGGCAAAACTCACCTCTGTCCAGCAAGGGAAGATGCAAGAACTTCCCTTCATGCATCATATGCAGTGCTTCAAGAATTGTGGTATCTAATGATGCACACTGTGGATTTGGAGTCATTACCTAATGAAAAGAAGTATGGAAGAGAAGACGTGAAAATAAATCCAAATCAGACAAAATTTCCATGCAAACATGAACATCAATAAGAGGAAAAGGAATCTCACTATAAACCCCACTTTTCAAACTAGAATTACATCCAAAAGTTCCAAAAACGACAAATTGGACTAACCTTTTCAACTAGAGTCAATTCAGGAGAAAGATTTTGAGCCACAACCCGCATGAGGATGTCCTTTGAACTGCGTGAGATATTTAAATATTAAAAGTTCTGAAGTCAAAGTCCGATTCATAGATTGTTCAAGGAGGATTCTTGCTGGAAAAGCATGTAATACATATGTTGTTGCCATATCCATATTATGGGCTTCTCAAAGAAAAGAATGTCCTATGAAATAGATATTACGTGAGTATCCCCAGAATTTTGTTTCCCGCCGCTATAATGGCAGAACTAACATGCAACTCCCGCATTCTTTTCGCAGCTACATAGACAGGATCTGCCACTGATGTAATAGCAACCCTGTGAATACATAAAGCTAGACAACTTGGTAAAACCACAAATAATATCTGAAAATATGGGTGAGTCTCTTTGCAATTTCAATGCAAAAATGCGAAAATATAATCTGGAATATACTTTGCATTTTCACCAATTATTGTTGACAGGGAAGGCTTGAACACGTGGTCCCTCAATGTTTCAATGAAAGTGTTTGGAGCTGATAAAAATGACAGCAAATGAAACGTAGTATTAGAATAATTACTATATGCTGGAAATATATGGCAACAGATCTAGCAAGCTGTACCACAATCTGGCCATTCTTTCATCAATAAAATTACTTAAGGCTGGTAGCTTTTAACAATTCGAAACATTCAAGACACCAGGAACATGAGAAGCCAAAAGTTTTGTGGAAGAAAAATTGACAAATAAAAAGTAAATGCACATGTGATTGATATTGAAGGTAAGAAGTTTTTGCAAGTTAAAAGACCCATAAATAATGCCCAAGATTTTTTTATCTGTTTATAGTCCTCCTTAAAGCATCTGATTCCCCATTGCTAGGAACTCTACACCAAAATCCTTATACATTTATGTTGGGTATTCCAACAAGTGGGGCCATATTTACCAAAGGAAGCCCAAAGGAAACACCCAAGAGCAGGAAAGGCAAGGGCAGAATGGGAAAGGCACAGCAAATAACGGTGTCTGACACTGTCGGGGTAGTGGAGGGGGTAAAAGGAGGGTGGGTTTCTCTCCTTTATGTTTACTGTAGATCTGGACCGTTCAAATTAAATCTGTAATTTTAAAAATTTTCAAATCTTAATTTTTAAATTCAATTTAATGATCCGGATCAACACTGGTCTCTCCTCTGTTCTTCTCTACAGAGAAGAAAATCCAACTCAATAAAAGGGGTGGGGAGAGACAAAGGAAAGGTAGGCAGTGGTATCATCTTTGTGGAGAGGGCCCGGTCTCTTGAAAACCAGGTTGTGTGAGAGTTCTTTCATGTTCTTTGTTCTTGTTTGATGTTTGAAGTAGGAAATTAGTGTGTGTGAAGCTGAGTAGTGGGTGTATTCTGACACGATCACCTGCATCATAACCGTGACATATTCTCTACATTTTCCCTTCATAATAGAGGATATCCAGTGAATTTCTCTTCATTTATCTGTTATTTGTCTCTCTTTTTATCTGTTATTGGTGCTAATCCTATCAATTTACCCTTAAGGAGGATCAATTTCATAATGCAGGGGACTGGGCAAAATTAGAGACCTAATAAGTAGCTCAGTAAATTTACTTACAATCACTAGTTCAGTTCGTTTGGGGGGGGGGGGGAAAGAAAATCATTAGTTCAGTACTCTAATGTCTTATAAGAACAATTGTTCCAACCAGCTAAACTGTTACTCCGTTGACGTTCCAGCCCTCCAACTGCAGCAGAAATGGCACTTCCCTGCTCTGAAGCCTTCTCCATCTTAACTATGGCATCATAAAGACATTTGGTGATATCCAGCAAGGCAATGACTTCACCATTTTCCACTACAGGGAGGTGCCTGAATTTACCTTCCAGTTGAAAAGGAAAAAATATATCTCATTTGATGAAATTATTATGCGTAAGACATCCTGTAGGTTCATTAGTATAAGACGTAAACATAAAGAAAATATAACAGGGGCATTTCAAGTCTTGCAATCCGAAAATAAACTAATTAAAGAAACGAATGGAACCTATTTACAGGAAAAAGACAGATAATAAGACCCTAATTGCAAAATAATAGTACAAGTCACTACAATATCAGATAAAGGTTGAAGTATACATGAAAGACTGTAACTTCACTAGACATCATTGGGCGCAGAGAAGAGGGCAAAGGAAAATAATATTAAACAGAGGGGAAAGCACGCCAAAGTTTAAAAAAAGGTCTATTTTTAATATGGCAAATCTAGTGAAGTCTTATGCCAGCAAAAATCATTACACAAACAAAAGCCATAACAATGTAAACCATAAAAATTATTCAATTAGTAAATAAAAAAGGCTGAAAGCACCAAGTTAGCAGTAGGAACATCATGGAAGAAAGAGTTGAAGGGTTAATAAACAAACAAAAAATGACAACTTAGTATTTTAATCCATGTTATACAGACCAAAGGATAAAAGAAAAGATGATTAAGTAATCGCCCGGTTCCAAGGCCCCATGAATTGCTAATGTCAAGGTATCTAAAACATGGGCCTTGATTAACACTGATCGTGACATTTCTGAAAACAGATTCATCAAATATAATTGTTTATCATATAGGTCACAACGCTTTTACAATGCATGATTCTTGTGTTGTAGTAACTAAGATATAAATATATAAAATCTATAACCCTCCCTTTCTCCACTCCGCATTCCTCAGGCATTCTGCCTCCTCTGTAACCAACTAAAAGAAAAAACACAAAACGGATTAGAAAATGAACAGAAAAATGTAATAGACACAAAAGTCTAAAAAATACGTTCCAACATTTAATTTGTGAGCTGAGCTGCCATGTAACAAATCCCATGTTCATGGCGAAGTGTGGAGCTAATAATCAATGGTCATATAACATAGTTTGAATGCTCTCATCATGGTGTTCCATAATATTTTCATTAAAATGAACCCGCTTTTGGAGAAGTAAAGTGCAAGATGTAATAACTAGTGTGGGATAAAGTAATTACTAAGATCTGATCCAATTGCTCAACGAAAGAGCTCGATCAAACTCAACTAAACTAGAAAGTTGATGGCAATGATACATGATATCCCACTTTTAATTTACCAACTCAAACATCTATAACAATAACAACGATGAATGTGATCGTGAGAGGGAAGCCAACCTTGAACCATCTTTTGTAGAGCTTCTATGGCCATAGAATCCGATTTCAGAAAAATAGGATTACGTGTCATTATCTTAGACATTATGGTCTGCTCTGGCCGTAATCCTTCGGCTATAACTCTAGCCGCGATGTCCTGACCACAAGACATACAAGCTTCAAACATTCCATAAAGAAAAAAAAAAAATACAAGCGCACTCTATGGACAAAGTAAGAATGCACCTTGTCAGTCACAATTCCAGAAAGCAAAGCATTAGCATCAGTCAACAAAACAGCATCAATATGGCGAGTTGCCATACGTCGACATGCTTCAGAAACCGTGGTGCCCTCGGGAATTGTGAGGGCTTTTGACAGTCGAAGCTTCTTGACCGACCTATCTTCCCCAGCTGGCCTGATTCGCGAATCAACCCGATTAAACAAAAAATGTCAACGAGAAACCCATCCGTGAAAAGCTCTACATAATGTTGTTTCGAGGAAAGAACTCGAAACAAAAATTTGTAAGCGACATTGTCGTTCTTATAATGCTCGCATGGGCAAAACCAGCACATGATTGAAGCATTACGTGCAAAATAAATCCACCGTAGACATGGGAAATTCACCCATTAAAACACGAAGCCACGACGTTCAACATGCATGAAACGACCAAATGAAGCTCGATAACATACAATGATAAAATTTAATTTGAGACGACGAACTCCTCCAAAGACGCTTAGAATGACGGGTACGACAGGAAACGATATACATATACAACGGATATAGTTTTATTTTCGAAGCGTAATTGTGCATAGAAAACAATGTAAATAATGAAGAAGAAAGAGGAAGAGAGAGAGTTACGGTTGATCAGTGGGAGAGGAAGGTTCATTGCCGCTGCCATTTTCGCCGGAAAGGGACCTTCTGGAAGCGGAGGGAGCTCGCTTATGGTTGGCGGTGTTCCTCCTCGGACCAAGAGGAGCCACTAGACCGCTCATATTCAATCGGATCACCGGTTCTCTCTGCCTGTCTCTTTCTATTGCCCTCAGATATTGTCTCCAACCTTGCGCCCACCACCTTCCTCTCTCTCTCTCCCTCTCTCGCCAAAAGCTTGGATTTCTATTTTCTATTTCTTTGATCTTTCTTTTGCCCTGCCCATGAAAGGGTCAACTTTAATTAATATTTCGATTTTAATTTTAGGAAAAAATAAATCACTTATAGTAATTTTGGTTTTATTAGTTTTTCCACTTCATAATTGTACTTCTAGCTATTTGGATTTGGAAATAAGAAGTATTATTTGCAATTATTGTTCTTGAAATTTTTTTTTAAAACTAGATTTACTGACTTAAGTTATGCCAAGTACTTCGATTTCAATGAATGCATTTTGCAAACTAACATTTTAGTAGAGTGGGAGTTGATTGGCGCTCGCTAATTCCCGCTCTAACCTTGTAAGGAGTACCGCCCCGTCAGGTGACCGTGAGACTCATCTTTCTACATAAATTTATGGTGTTTAATTAACCAGATTCCTTTCCTGCACCGAGATCAACACCAGGAAAGAGGTGGGATGGAAGTTTTTTTTTTTTTTTTAATGAATGAAGGGTAATTGGGCCATAACAAAATATAATTTCAACCCAATCATTTGATCATCCAGTGTCATTTTAATTGGGGGAATGACAAATAAATCCTAAATAAAAATATAATAATTTGGAACCTAATTGTCCTTAAAACTTTTGATGAATTGATAAAAATATTGTTTAATTTAAAAAGTGAAAAAATTGTGAATGCATGCATAAACCACTTTAATCATTTATTAAATCAAACATGTGAATTTTAAAATCAAAGTTATGAATAAAAAAACTTTATTATACTATGTTAATTGAAGAAAAATTGATAGAGTATAATGATGTCTTGCAATCTATATAGCTAACCCCACTCAATAAGATAAAAGCTTGTTGTTATTGTTGTTAAATGAGGAAAAATGATGAAAAAAGTTACAAATGCCATAATCACTTTAATCATTTGCTAAACTAGAGCTGTAAATTTTAAAATTAAAGTTGTAAACACAAAAAAATTGTTGAACTTTGAACAATTAAAGGGTATTTTTGTCATTTCATTATAAACTATAATGGCAATTAGGTCCTCTGGAACATATACAAGGTATCATCACATTTTCACATAACTTTTTATCATTTTTTTATTTTGAAAGGATTTATTTGTCATTCTCCCTTTTGTTATTAAAAATAAAAAGGGAACATGACAATAAAATTTTTCCTAAAATATATAAATAACAATGTGATCTTTCAAAATGCCATAATTTTCCTAAAGTTTTTAGAAATTTTTTTTATTTTTTAATAAATTTATCTAAATTATTAAATTTTCCTTGTTGAAAATAAATTCATAATTTTCCTTTTTATATTCGCAACTTTTCTCATATTCATAACAATGCAACAACAAATAAGAAATTTAACATGCAAAGTTGTGATTTACTGTTGTATTGTTGTAAATTTAAGAAAGATTTTTCAATAAGAATAATTTGATAATTTATATAAATTTATTAATGCCAAAAATGTTTTTAAAGACTTTAGGAGAATTATGATATTTTGAGGGATTAAATTGTCATTTATATATTTTAAGAAGATTTTATTATTATTATTATCCCAAATAAAAATATAGTGTGATCTTATATTCAAATTCTCTCTATAAATTTTATTTCAACGGAGGTAATAAAAAAAGTAAGGCATTCTCATTGGAGAATGAGATGGCAATCTTCTATTAGTCTCATATACTCACCGTATTATAGCTATAATCAGCCCGAAAAGAATTAAGTTATGATATTTATCATAAGTTGGCTCCATATCCTCATAATTAGCCCAGTACTGTCGGAACAGTATGATAGTAGTAGGGAAACTCGACGATCAATGGTGCAAGAATAACATCCTCTTGGTTTGAAAACCTTGAACAAAATTTTACCCACAGATCTCCTCAGAAAAAGTTAAATTTGTCTGGCAGTGAGGACTTTTTAAGACAGCCTTCCACTGCTTCATCTTGATGGTCCTACCCTCTTCTTGTCTCTATTTCATGCTCTTTCCTTTTCCCTCTGACATTCCTCAGATTCTGCATTCATTTCCGGCTTCATGATCTTGCAGTTGGTTAAGGTATCTCACTTCTATTTTAACATTTTAGGGGGTTTTTGTGCGTTTATTTAAAAGGTATTTTTGCATTGGAATTTGGGGTTTCTGGATTTTGATTTTAGAGATATTATGATGTCGCGTGAAATTGGGGAGACTTGGCATTGGTAGGTACCTGTCTGTCGAACGAGTTGTTTGAATTTTGAGTCTCAAGTAATAGGCATTCAATGCAGTACTTCACCCCCTCTTCAAAAGGGCACTGTGACTGTCTATGTACCAGTATCATGTGAGTGGACAGTGATATTAGGCAGTTTCACTTGATGTTAAAATGGTGTTAGATGAGCTGATAAGTGAATTCTAAGCAAAGCTGATAACTACCTTCTTATTTTATTTTCAAATTTCTTCAGATTACATAAATGTTACTTATAGATTTTTCCAACTCCATGCTTACGTACTGATCAAAATTCATAAGCTAGACAAAAGTCTAATGCAATGTCTATCCCCAGAGCAATGTCTAGGTTTCTTTCACTTTAAGCTAAGACTAAGACTGTAGCCAATGGCGTTTGTGAAGTGAAATTCCAGATAAAGTATTTTCGAGTTAATTTAAGGTATTAATCTTGCTTAAATTGTAGATGGAACATCGGAGTTGGTTATGGTGCAGGAAATTATCTGACAAGAGTCTGGCGAAACAGAGAGTTTGGGATCAATGTCATCCCATTCAGAAAGATTCCTCCATGATCAGGTATGCAGTGGTATAACAGTTGCAATTGACTCCACTTTCTTTCTTTTGTTTTTTTAATACTACTTTTCCTTTCTTTCCTTTTCTTTTCCTTTCTTTTTGATAGGGTAGATTGCTAGAGTTCAGTGTTCATGATCCTTCATGGTCTGATTATATTTCTTTCCATCACTATCTTTGCTATTTTTGTGGCAAAATAACAAATTTATAAGCCTTCTCAGACAATATCTTATGGTCATTGTTTCGCTTTCTGAAAATGATAGCTTGCAGTGTCTAGGCAAGATGCAAACAATTATCCCTTGTTTTGCAAGTTAAGTATTCCTTTTCTAAAGGTGGTAGGCCTTTACCGGTAACTGAGTCACAGTCAAGTATCAGATATGTGGCTGTTTTGATTATTCTAAAGTTGTCTTGAAATAGATTCAGATCTTATGTTTTTGCCATGATTTTGAAGGCATATCTAACCCAAACTACTACTACATCTCCGGAAGTCATGAATGAAGAAGAGGTTACTGATGTGAAGATTCTAAAAGAAAAATTATCCGCTGCTCTCCTGGGCATTAGTGTCAAAGAAGACTTGATAAAGCAGTATGTAAATGTTACCGAGGAAGCAATCTCAAGTATTTATCTGCTAACTAGATAAAGTAGAAAATTAAGAGATTAAGAAGAAAATCTCATGATAAAGCATCCTGCAACTCATATTTATCTTCTAAGAATAACAGTTTAGGATTTGCAGCTGTATCACATTTAAGATCATTAATTAAGTCTTCTGGCTTTATACTCATTAGTCATTACCTTTTGCTTCTCCTTAAATATTACATCATCAACGTCCGTCTTATCAAGAATGATGAGCACGTGTCCAATCCTGAAAATACTTTATCATTTAATTTAAGTCAGAATATACTTACTCGTACACTAATATATTTGCCCTGATTTGGCATTCGAAGATTTATGGAATGATTTGGCAGCTGTTGTTGACATTAATGTTTGTGGTGATATTGTTGAATTTATGTGAACGACTCTGAAGGCCTCACAATTAGCACTTGCCATTTCTTTTGTTTGCTTTGGAACTCAAGAATTGAACTACATGATGTTGGCTTCTGGTTATATTTAGGTTGGGAGAAGGCTGAAGATGATGTGTTGTCTTTTAAACAACAAGTTGACGCTGCAAAGTAGAACAATTCACATCTTGAAGACCGAGTTAGTCAACTTGATAGGGAACTCAAGGAGTATGCGAGGCAGCTTCGACAATCTAGAGAAGATCAAGAACGAAAGATCCATGAAGCAGTTGCAAACAATTCTCTTGTTTGGGAATCAAAAAAATCAGAGCTTGAGGGTAAAGTTGTTGAGCTTGAGACCCAGTTTTAAACAGCTAAAACAGAAACTATTGCATCAATTAGTTTTGATCTTAGACAGAAACTTGAGGTTGTGGATAAAGAGAATGCAAGCCTTAAACTTGAGCTACGATCTCAACTCGAAGAAATCGAATTCATGATCACTAAGCGGGATTTAAGTACACAAGCTGCAGAAGCAGCAGACAAGCAACATTTAGAAAGCATTATGAAGGTTGCTAAGCTTAAAGTTGAGTGCAGGAGACTAAAAGCCATTGCTCATAAAACATGCTCTACTAATGATCATATGTCTTTGACTGCTTCCTCAGTTTATGTAGATTCCTTCACAGATAGCTTGTCAAAAAGTGGAGAGAGGCTGCATACAATTGAAAATGATGCCAATGAATGTGAGTGAAGTCATTCTAACTCATGGTCATGGCTATCTGCTTTGATTAAAGAACTTGATCAATTCAAGAATGACAAGACTACCAGAAAAAGTCATATGGCCACTTCCATTGAGATTAATCTCATGGATGATTTCCTTGAGATGGAAAGGCTTATTGCATTGCCAGACCCAGAGAGAGGAAGTAGTTTTCTTGAGGCAGCACCATCACTAGATCAGCCTAAAGGTGACCAAAACACAACCAAATTTGATATGGAATCTATGATTCAAAGGTATTCTGAATTGGAAGAACACCTAAAGAAGATGGAGGTTAATAGATTTAAGGTTGAGATGGAATTGGCTGAGTGCCGAGAGCAGCTACTTGTATCATAGAGTCAAATAAAGGATACAGAGTTGAAGATAGCAGAACTTCAAACTCAGCTAGATCTGGT